GACTTAAGATTAGACCCATTTGTTCAATATTTGCCTAGTATATCACTTATTAATACAACATTTATTGCCACTGATGGTTTAGTGTCACTGAATTAAATTCTCTTTGTGTTTATTGATGATTCCTGGGAGGGGAATTTTTATACAACTCACCACTTTAAATGATATTAAGGCTTAAAGTCAGAGGGGCTCTTTAAGCTTCTTCAGTGAAAAAAGAAACCCACTAATAAAAGCAGCATTAGTCTCAATGACAGGTTTATTATCGGTTATTTGGGTGTGAATTAAATAAGGCACATTCACATCATATTTAAACATTCAAACCTGAAATTAAAAACAGTGGTACAAAAATAATTAAGACTCGACTTCTGATTGGGTTCGACATCCTTTTCTGTTTAAATTAAACGCTGCGAGACACAAAGTGAAGAGTCGGCGGGTGTTTGAGAGCAGACGGTCGCAGAGGTATAAAGTTTAAACCGAAGCTTCGCCCTCAATGAAACTGTCAAACGTCTACGGAGAGTGAACAGGAACACGGCGGCGTACAGTACTGCTGCTGTTAAATATACAATTAAATATCTTCTGATGTGTTAAAGGACCAAACTGGAGTTTTTTCTCATTAAATCACAGCTGACCAATTTCAAAACCTGTTTTTAGATTAATCTGCAGTCAGAAAATCAACTTATAGAAGCTTAAAACTCAAAATATGATGATTGTACGGAAGACCTGAAAGGCAAAAGTGTTTTTTTCACTTTGTATGTTTCATTCAGTTTTTTAATTTGTGAAACTTAAACTTAACTAAAGTTAAAAAAAAAATTCTAGTTTTACATTAAATTCATTTTTCCTCAGGAGGATTTTTTTCAATTATTGTTTTATCTGTAAAAAAAAAAAACTAATAATGTCACAGAAAAAAAAAAAAAAAAAGAATTGAGAATTTTTTTTTTAAATTGTTTTGTTTTTCGGGGCTTCCGTATGAACACTGAATCATGTGAAACAATAATGTTGCTAAACTTAAATTCAATAACATAGATAGAAATATCAAAACTTTCACAAATAAAACTTAATCTGACAATAATTTATTATTTTAATCAGTTAATCGTTTTGGTCAGAAATGTTCTCGGTTTTATTGAAAGTGTAAACACATGATTCTACTTAAAATCAATAATATGATTTAACTTCCTGTTCTTTTAGTCACTTTTATTACTTGTCAACTTGCATTATTATTATTATCTTTGCATTATAACGCTTTTAAAACCATGTCGCTGCTGGTGCGTTCAAGGACCGTTGGACAGAGCAGTGACAGCCGGCTGCAGAGAAGCAAAAACACATTAATGTTTGTATAATTTTTACCATATACACTTTACATATAGTTTGGCAGTCAATGTTTGTTATTATCTTCTGTAACCTATAGGACACTCATGAATAAACGTATGATTTATTGACTCCTCGACTCGATAACTGAACTCACAAAAACAATCTCTCTCTGCATGTTGAGTTTCATAGAAATAAACTAAAATAAGTTGGTTGAAATGTTGCAATTAACGCGTAAAACAATAAAAACCAGCGGTGTGATCCTTGAACCTGCTCTGTGTCTGTGGAGAAAACACATTCAGGAGAAGCTGAACCTCTCTGAACACACGACCGTCAACAAGGGTCATAAATAAAAGACTAAAAACATCAGTGGAGTAGTACGATGTTAAACGGGAAAACAACCAAACTGTAAATCAATCTTTAACAGTGAAAACAACGACTAGTATTCAAGTAAAACAAAAACAACACATATTGAAATGAACTCTGGTGCTCAGATCGGAGCTACAGTCTCGTGGCTTCAAACTAAACTAAAGCAACAACATTCATACAGTATGAAACTAAAGCCACGTCAGTTTGCATCCCTTTTTCTTTTTGTGAAGGCGAGAAGAAGAAAGTGCTTTAACCTCAGGGGAGGAGGAGGAGGAGGAGGAGGAGGAGGAGGAGGAGGAGGAGATACAGGAGACCTCTTCGGACCAGAAGAAGTCTGTTAATGTTATGGACAACATCTGAGCTGTTAAAGTCACAATGAAATTATATTAAATGAATTTAAAGGTCACATATATGAGATTTAAAACATTTATACAGCAGCAAAATATCTGCTATGTTCAGATACAGCGGAGTCACAAGCTGTATGTAGTTATAGTTAATGAAGTTACGATGATCTGAGAGGTTAAATTACAGTTTTTTTCTATAGAGTCTGGTGCAGCTGGGTGCTAAATGTCACATATAACATAACCTTTAATGACTAAAGACTCACAGGAAGATAAAATTAAAGAGATGTGTGACACAGAAAACTAGTTTAGTATTTCATTGTGACTTTAAAGGGCGAGTACACCCACATTACAAACACATATTCTCACTTATATGTCCAGATGTCTGTCTGTGGGACTGATGGAACTCAAACATCAGCTGCTTCTCGATTAACTGACAATTAAACGTATTGTTAAATTCATTTCCACCACTGATAGAAACGGCAGCGTACCACAGCTGGTCAGGAGGAAGGTTTGATCCCTAAACTACATCTCCTGTTTGTACCATGAGGAGTCTGTACGGAGGTCCTGAGAGGCAAGAGAGTAAAAAAAAAAAATCTGATATAAATTTTCTCTTCTGTGTTTACGACTTTTCAGCCTCTTGTGGTTGAAATTCGTAATACAACAACAAACCGCTTCCTGACAAAAAGGACCACCAATGAAAACAAAAAAGTGACTTATTATCCCGGCAAAACCTTTTCAGTTTCACGTCAAATAAATAATGAATTTAGAAAGATTTAAAGTCAGAGAAACAAGAGACAAAACAATTTAGATCAGACTTGGAAAACAAATCTTATTTCTTGTTTGCCTCTCAAAGCCTCCGTAGTTAAGTAAGAACATTGACTTGTTTTGTACGATGAGTGAACTGACCCCCTTTAAACATTAATATGCTGAAAGACGTTGGACGAGCAGCTGGTAGAGCTTCCTCAGAGACGCTGTGCTTTCTTTCTTTTTTCCTTTTGGCAAATATTTTGGTGTTCGTGTCTTACACTGAGGGAACGTTTCAGTGCTCCTCTATAATCTCTCTGCACGCCGTTTGGTTGGCGTCTGTCTGGTCGCCGCCGTCAGTCTGCTCTGTGGGGCAGAGGTCAGTGGGGCAGAGGTCAGCGGGGCTGGGGCTGTCTTCAGTCTGGTTGTCAGACGACTGTAACTGTCCGTTCAGCGGGCTCTGGTCGGTGTCGTGGGAAGCGGAGTTCTCGGTGGATGCAGACGGTGCGTTCGAGGGCGAGGACGGTGGCGTGTCGCTCCCGGTGCTGCAGTCCTCAGTGGAGTGCGTCTCACTGGTGTCGTGGTCCGTGCTCTCAGCTGTTTTGTGTGCGACCTCGGTCTGATTACTCTCTCTCAAAGTGCGCTCGGCCGTGTTCCCGGGCTCAGGTCGCTCCGGCGTTTGCTCTCCAGAGTCCAGAGTGTGACAGCGACCCAGGGGCCGCTCTCTCAGACGGGGCCCGGCGTCGAGGCTTGCTGAGGGGCTGCTGACCTCCACCGTCTCCCCCCGCCGCAACCTCCTCCTGTCGGGATTCACCTGGGAAGACAAATCAGGATCACATATGCAGACGTCTATTCACTACTACTACAACCCTTCCAGTAGTTCTACAGTTGACAGATATTCACTCTGGTCGCAGTGTACCTGGTTCTGGGTTGAACACCTGGGCGGAGGACCAGAGGAGCCTTTCTTTATCTGCTGAACCCTGAATCAAAGAACATCCAACAGTTAACACAAATACTGAAACAAACAACATCTACGTGTTTATTTTTGGTCGTTGGAGATCTGAAGTTAGAGATCATCACCTGCTGATGGACTGGGCCAGTTTCTGCCTCCTGCCGTTGGCGTGATCCTGCAGCCGCAGACGCTGCACGAACGAATGAGCTGCAGCGACAGAGAGGAGAACAAAACCCTGAACAGTGAATCCTGACATCATCTGAGTTAGATTAATCCATTAGTTCTAAATCCGTTTAAACAATCGATATCTTGTAGGCTGACGTTCGTTACCCAGAGCTCCTTTGGGCACCGACAGGAGTTTGATCGGCTCGGCATCGGGAGAAAGTCCCGACGCTTTCTGCAGAGCTCTCAGGATCTCCGTGTTCTGCAGGAGAAAAGGTTTGTGTCACTGTTGAGCTTAGATATGCTATATGCTAAGCTAATCTATGTTGAAAAGACGACCACATTTAGTTAAAAGATAAAAGAGACACACATAAACAATATGCTAACACTGTTTTGATTGTGTTTCATTAACAGCAGCACCACCTTGCCGCCCAGTTCGTAGGCGCAGTCCAGCGGCGTCCTCTGCCTCTTGTTCCTGAGGCCGGGCGAGGCTCCTCCCCTCAGCAGCAGCTCCACCAGCGCCTGCTGTCCGCCCCGCACCGCCTCATGGAGGGCCGTGTTCCCCTGGAGGTTCACCACGTTCACCAACGCGTTGCTCTGCAGGGACGAAGAACGAGACACTTCAGACTTCATCTGAGACCGACACGTTAAACTGCCGTCGGGTTAAAGGGGGGGCTGACCTGTAACAGGATGGTGGCGGTCTCCAGGTTCCCACAGAGACAGGCCTGTATCAGAGGTGTGTTGCCATAGTGATCCTTCTTGTTCAGTTTGGCGTTGCACTCAAGCAGAAACCTCACCACCTAAACACACACAGAGGCTCTTCATCATGTGACCGACACTAAACAACCGAGGTCAGATTCACAAGATATACAGTCTCCCATTGGTTCCTGTTGAAGACGTAAATCATTACAAACAGCTCAGAAACATTTAGTTTCATGTTTTACAAAGGTTCAGTTACTTCCTAAAACAGCTGCTCACTGTTGTTGCTTTTTTTAATCAAACAAACAGGAAATAGTGCATTTGTTGGGGACTATTTTCAGCAGCGTTTCAATCCACATCTGGCGCTCTACTGCAGTGGTCAGGACCCCCAACTTTAAACAAATAAACACAGTAGGTCGATATCTCAGCATTTTATGAGAAGAAAATGTACTTACACTGTTATTTGTAAAGTTTAGATTATTATTTAAGAACTAAACTTTGAAGAGCTGAACACAAACTATACTGACAGCATCGTCCTGTGTTAGAAAACAACCAAAGAACTGATAAGAAAACTCTGAATCTGTCAAAGAAACAGTGTATTAAGCCTGAATGATTGTTAAGAATACACAATACAGACAGCAGATGATGTAAACTGCAGTGTGTTCATGGTGGTGAAGGAACAGTGTGGCTCACTGATGTGTTTCTAAAGGACAACAGTGGAGCTCTGATACACACCCAGTACCTGTCAGCAGATATTGTAGTCGCAGTATTTATATTCAGAGTTTTATAGGATTTGTTGACAAGAAGAAAAATACAGAATATCAGATGTATCTTGCATCTTTTAGCCACAAGGTGGTGCCAGTGAACCTGAGCCTGAACCAGACCTCCTCCCTGCAGAGAGACGTCCCTGTTGTGGCTGACCCACTTCCACGTAACGCCGTCCTGTGAAGACGTTATTTTTATCTCCAGCGTGACACAATCGTGTAACACAGCACAGACACCTCGAGCAGGAGATCTGCTGATTCTGTATCCACTGCAGGAAGATTGAGTGTTTAAATCACAGGAACAAATGCTGTGAGACAACTGTTGTTAGCTCTCCCTTTAATATCTTTCCTCCATGTTTCAGGTCACTGGGCCTCGTGTTCTTATCTTTACTTGTTCGGTGGGATTGTACGAGTTAGATCTCCTATCTTCAGATCTCTGTGTAAATCACCTGAGTAAAAAGGATGAATGTGTGCAACGGAGCACAAACACCCTGATGATACCATATCAGCCGGCTCCTGGCCCACGTGTGAGAAATGGTTTGGAAGAGTACGAAGAACAACTTAACGAGCTCTCTGAGATCATTTTAAAAGTGTCAAGAGTGGAATTAACAGACCTGCTAAAGCCAAGGAAGGAGATAAAAATAATGAGCGCTCAATCAGGAAGAAAGAAGGTTTGATAAGAAAATCAACAGGAGGAGGTCGAGGGGAAGTCACAGAGAGGAAAGAATAAGTGCTGTAATAGGTAATGTTGCATTGTAGAGGATGTTCCTCTGGACTGCAACCTGCACACACTTTAACCCCGTCAATGGCTCATTCATTCATATATATATATATATATATATATATAACCAATAAACTGTACAGTCTAACAGGATGATGTCAATGTGTTAGGAAGTTTGATTTGCATTGGAAGCTTTCTGTATCGGTCTCGATCAGAACAGCTGGATCAGATATTAAAGTATAATTCACTTCACCATGAACCTGAATAATGATGATACAGGTTCATGGTGAAGAGTCTCGGGTTCGTCACAGGTTGGTGGTCAGTGTTTATTGGCCACAGCCCATACAGTAATGAATTTTATTTTACAGAAAATGATTAAAAGAAGACGTAGAAATAGTTTTTGCTGAAATGCAATCAGACTTTTTTCCAGGACAACAAGATTATTTCCAGGACATTGGGTCTTTGGTCTGGTGGTGTTTCCAGGTTTTCCAGGACGTGTGGCAGCGTTTAGTGTGTGTAGCGACTGGTTTGTGCGTCTCACCTGGACGTGGCTGTTCTGGCAGGCCAGGTGGAGCGGCGTGGCGCTCTGGTTGGTGCGGGCGTTCACGTTGGCTCCGTGGCGGATCAGCAGGGCGGCCAGCGCGGTGTGGCCGTGCAGGGCGGCGACGTGGAGCGGCGTGAAACCGTCGACGTTACAGCTGTTCACGCCGAGCGCCCCGGCCTGCAGGACGGACAGCTGCAACACACACAGAGGAGGCGGGGTCAGAATCTGTTACCGTCTCCGAACAGCGAGCACGTCTGTCGGTGTCTGTCAGACCTTCTGAGTGGGAGCGCAGTTCGGACACTGACACAGCGGGTGGCACAGCAGAGCCTCGGACCGAAGCTCTCCTTCGTCCTCCTCGTCCTCGTCCATCCACTCCAGCAGGTAACGCACCTGAAAACACACACACACACACACACACACACACACACACACACACACATTAATATAATATTCATTCTTATTAACTGCAAATTGAAAGCCCTAGATCACCTGTAGAACCACAAACATCGACATTCCCTAAAACACCACTTGTCTTCACTCTGGGGACCATCAGCTTAAAGGTTTATTTTTAGGACACCTGCACATTCAGTCAGTCTGCTATTGTTTCTCTCTGTTTTATTACAGCAGCTGAACATAATATTCATAAGCATACATAGCTTCCATTGTGTAAAGTATGTTTAATGTGTCTTCTCCATTTCACCGAGCTCAGCCTCTGTTAACCTTTAAGTCCTGAATGCTCTGACTGGACCAGGTCTGGATCAGTTATCCTGGATTCATTCATTCTGCTTTTGTGAAACTGCTTTGTTGTTTTGTTCTCACCATCTCCACATCACCGTCTGCCACGGCACGCAGCAGCTTCTCCACCTGTCAATATCACACACACACACACACACACACACACACACACACACACACACACACACACACACACACACACACAGTCAGTCACCATGGAAACAGCAACTGTGTCTCTCTAGATTATGAACTTTGAGTTGAGACATTTAGTTTCCTGCAGTCACCTCTCTGTGTCGGACCCGTTCTCCCTCCGGTTTGGCCTCGGAGCCCAGAGAGGAGGTACTGGAGATGGAGGAGCGGCGGCTGCTGCAGTTGGAAGCCTGAGGGGAGCGACTGGGAGACTGAGAGGAGGATGAGGAAGAGGAGGAGGAGGAGGAAGGATTATCACTTAAGCCCATTAAAAACCAACTTCAGTTTTTGCAACATGCTTGAAAAGTTACAAAATGCGGCACAAAATGGCTCGACAGCGCCCCCTAAAGAGCGACCTCCCCCCCAGAGGCACGTTTTACCGCTATGTGTGAAATTCAGAACGTATGTATATCATGTCCAGATGTACAAAAAAGCCTCAAGGGCCCATACCCCAAACCCAACAGGAAGTCTGCCATTTTGAGTTCAGTGTAAAGACCATGGCGATTACTCACATCGACTCCGCTGCCGCTGCGCTGCCGACTGTTCTGAGACGACTGCAACAACAGGAGGATCTACAGGGAGAGGAAACACATTCAAACACTGCAGTGGACTGTTCCTGTCTGAACACTGGTGATAGAACCGTCAGTGTCTTATTGCAGAAGTTTACTTTTAAAGATGCAGAAATGACTTTATATGCTTTTATTTCATTACGCCTGGATTACTGTAACTACTGTAAAAACTGTAAATCAGCTACAGACTCAGCTGCTCACCCCGCTTTTATCCTCTTTACACAGGCTCCCAGTAGGTTGTAGAATTGATTTTAAGCTGCTTTTTATCGCAGTTCTTTCATCCTTTTGCACTTTGAAATCCTCTGGCAGGGAGGGGCCTTTTATCTGTTCCAGGTCTTGGGTGAAGACTAAAAAGGGCAGAGCTTCTGAAATAACAGCCCGAGGCTGTGGAACAACCCGGTCGAGGAATTACGGTAAGAAGTCAGTGACTTCTTTCAAACCTCAGCTCAAAATGAACTTTTATCGCAGCACCTTCCCTGATTTCATCGGATTTAATAAAGTCGATATCAGCCTGTAATCAATGAATTATCAGTCAGGCTTCAATTATTACATCTATCAGCAACATCATATTTTCCGTTAACAACAAAATATTAATATAATTCACAATGATTGTGGGAATAAGAATTTTTGCATCACAGATTTAATTTTCTACAGTTCTTTATTATAATGCCGTCAGGAAAATGTTTCAGCATCTGTGTAGATTTTTTCAGCTGATCTGAGGTCAGGTTGAACCCAACCTAAGAGGATCAGTCGGCTGCGTTCCCACGTTCAGTTCCTGGAAAACCGCAGCAGCTGATCGGATTAGTTCGACCGCAGAGCCGAGAAACATCCAAACAATGTCAGATTACACTGACGTCGCTTTGATTCCTTTTTTTCTTTTCTGATCTGAGAACAGCAAATTAAACTTTACGGCTCAAAGAGAAACAGCACCAGAGTCTGTTAAAGCAGCTGAAAACAGGGCTTTAAATAGTGATTATCATATTAATTATTAGTAGTAATCATCAGCATAGAAACACAGATTAGTGTATCAGATAGATTGATTATATTACTGGATTATAATCATTAATGTCTGTAGAGCTGCAACGATAAATCCACTAATCCCAATGACAGGGAATCAAAACTGAAACTGGGCTGGCAGGCATGGGAGGCATATTTCATCATTTAATAGAATTTATTATAATTTATATTGTTTATAATAGACAGTGTGTGTATCAGTCAGCCTCAGCACAGAAACAGAACTGTCGAATCTCTCATGCTGAAATTTACGACGTTCAGCATCCTTCAAAAGAAAACCGAGTCTGGCTTCCTGTTGAAAGGAAACGTTGAACATATTCAGACACAAACTTTGTGTGTGTGTGTGTGTGTGTGTGTGTGTGTGTGTTGCTGACCTTGGAGTTGAGTGCACACTGCAGCGGCGAGTCTTTGCTCTTGTTGAGGATGTCGGTGCTCGCTCCGTTCTCCAGCAGCACCTGGATGATTCCCTCGTAGCCCCAGCGCGCCGCCATGTGCATCGCCGTGTCGCCTTTGTCGTTCTGCAGGTCCAGGCGGCACGTTTGGACGTCGTAGTACACCAACGCCTTCACACACTGACACACAACACACAGCGTCACCACAATTATCTTCTATATCGATTAACATATTGATTACATCTTGCATTGATTATTTGCTCACAAACATCATAAATTACCAAACAAGTTACAAAAGGATGTCAAAAACCACAAAAGTACTTTAATGGGGAAGAAAACTATAAAAAAAAACTAATGAATATACTTTTTCGGGCTCTGATTATTGATTGATACACAGTTAAGTTTTGCCTGACTGAATTGATTGAACTGCTCACACTTTATAGTCAGGAGTCACATGTACAGGGTGCTTTGTATTAAGGGGTCATTAGCAGGAAAAGGTTGGAAAATTTGACTAATCGACTAACAATAATAATAATAATAATAATAATAATTCAGTAAAGTCAGTGTTTGACTTACGTCTTCGTGCCCGTACATGCAGGCGAGGTGCAGCGGTGTGTTGCCGTTGTTGTCCTGAGCGTCTGTGTTGGCCTTGTAGTGCAGCAGCAGCAGCTGAAGGACAGAAAGTACATTATTGATTGAGCTTAAAGGTTTTATACGAGATTTAAAACATTAATATAGCAGTCAACAGCTGTTCTCTATATAAAGATACAGAGTCGGTGTCTCTCTCCCTCTGCCTGTGTTGTATCGCAGCCTCTCTGTGGTTTGTTTCCATAGCCCGTCTGCTCCGACTGAAACTGCTGTTTTTATCATCTACGTCGGTGAATTAAGGATTTATTTCCACCAAACCAGAGTTGCTGATTGTTGGAAACACTAACAGAGACTTTTAATGAGTTTTATTCTGTTTCTGTCCACTTTAAATGAAGTTACAATGATACGTAAAATGTTGTCTCTGGAGTATAGTGGAGAGTGACAGTGTATTATGGCGGTTTGTGGTTAAACTAAAGGTCTATCTCTATAGGGATCCTTTCCATAATGTATATATGTCGTATAAAGTTCCTTGAAGGTATAATATTGTATAGTATTATTGCCTTTGTTAAACTGGTTTTTCTTTTTTGGCCACATGGGGGCAGCAGGATCTTTTAATTTAAGTTGATATGATGAATCTGGTAGCAAATGGTTGCTCCTTTCCACATCCAGCAGTTATGGAGCAACATGATCATCCATTCTGAGTCGTGTTTGTGTCACCTGATGAATGTAAGTCTAATATTCACACTCTTATCTCTCCACCAACCAGCTAGTCTCCAACTGCTTCCAACTCCAGAAATATATTACTTATAGCTGCAAATGGAGGGGATTTTTAGGATTGTTCTGTGTTATGTTTACACACACAGGTGTAGGAGAGTGTGAGTGTGTGTTTTCACCGTGACTCCCTGGTACCCCCGTTGGCAGGCCAGGTGCAGTGGTGTGAGGGCGTGGTAGTCTGTGGCGTTGACCGGCGCTCCTTTAGACACCAATAGGTCGATCAGCTGGGACTGACCTACACACACACACACACACACACACACACACACACACACACACACACACACACACAGTTGTTTACATCATTACATCATTAGAGGACCTTGTGTTTGATGCCTCTGTGTGTTGACAGCTGCTCACCGCAGATCGAAGCGACGTGCAGCGGGGTGTAACCTCGGTCGTCTCTGGAGAACGGTGTGACGATGGACGGGTCGTTCAGCCGGCTGCAACAGGAAGACAAGAAAGGTTCCTCTACAGTAGCAGTTATTTAATTAGAGAGCGACATAAAGGCAGAAGCAGATCTCAGGTACAGTAATGAGAGTCTGGGGGAATAAATTCATTTTCTATTTAATTAATAATCTGTCTTTGTGAGCTGTGAGACAAAGTTTTCTATGGGTGATCAAGTCAAGTATTTAGATGCTAATTTGTCCCTTGTGGGCCACAGTGGATGAAAATACTGTGTGTGTGTGTGTGTGTGTGTGTGTGTGTGTGTGTGTGTGTGTGTGTGTCAAGTGGGAAGTGAAAGTGTAAAACAGCTTTTCGTTCCTGATTCACAGCTCTGATGCAACAACAAAACAGAGAAGAAAAGGGGGAAATGAGTTTGAGTGGAAACGAAAGTAAAGTCAGAGGGTTTCCAGGACAAACGTGGCAGCATCGTTTCATTTCCAGTAAAACCAACAATACAGAGTCCACGAAGGCCCCGAGGCCAGTGAAAAGATAGGACGGGGCAGTAAAGACAATTAGCCATTAGCCTGACCGAGGCAGTGGAAAAAGAAAAGTATTTCTGGACCCTGAAAACACCTGAACATGATGTACGTGCCTCTTAAAGCAGCTTTGTTAACACATTGTATTTCCGGTGTGTTTGTGTGTGTGTGTTTGTGGATGCTGACCCAGACAGCTGGAGGTCACAGAGGTCACAGGAGCAGAGGGGATGACACATCCTGACGTCCTCGTTGCTCTCTCCTTCACTCAGCAGATGTTCCACCTCCACTTCGTTTCCATTCGCTATGTGCTACAACACACACACACACACACACACACACACACACACACACACACACACACACACACACACACAAACACCAACGAAATTAATATAATATTCATTCTTATTAACTGCAAATTGAAACCCCTAGATCACCTGTAGAACCACAAACATCGACATTCCCTAAAACACCACTTGTCTTCACACTGGGGACCGTTAGAAGAAGGTCGACCTCAGCGCTCAGCCTTAATGATAACTGTTTGGCAAACCGGTGAAAGTGATGGATTCTGGGATGTCTGCTGAGTGGGTTAGCTTCCTGAGCTCACCTCAAACAGACAGTTGATGGGCGTGGCGGCGCTCTGAGACAGAAGAGTCATCCTCTCTTTGAACAACGCCTTGTCATTCAGCTCACCTGAGCCCTGAGGGGACAGAGAAGACATGGTCGACCTTCAACGCCTGCTGAGAAACAACGCAGGAATAAAATCTGCCTTCCTGTGAGACTCACGGTGTTCTGCAGCTTCCCCAGGTTGATGTACTCCACCGCAGCCTCGAAGGTGCTCAGACAGTAGCTGAGCTCATCTTTACTGGAGTGGCTGAAGCAGAAGTTCCTGATGTAGCTCAGGTTGGCCATCCTGAGGACAACAGTAACTGTGATTGACCGACTACACAGAGAGAAAACATTTCCTCCTCTTCACTGGCATGTCAACTGCACGCCAACATTTCTTGAGACCAAGAACCCAGAGTGTTTTGCTCTATAGCAGAGTAAAGTCAGACTGAAGCTAACAGGCGACAGTTTGGGCTGAAATCAAAGACTGCATCATTTTTCTACCAAAACCAGTTCAGCAATTCTAGTTATAATCGCATAAAAGTGACCTTTGTGCAGGAAGGTGGTCCAACTTTACATCTATGAGATCTACTGAGGAAATCATCGCTGAGGGCAAAGATGTTTCTAGTATTTTATTTTTTTCAGTAATTGTTCAGTATTTGTTTGTTATTTACAGCCCTACATAAAGTCTGTGTTGTTCTTTTCAGTGCAAGTGTTTAATATCCAACCGCTGATGATTACATGTAGAAAGGGAGTATAGGATTCTTAATGTCAAGAATTATGTATGTCTTTATTCACTGTGGAGAGACAAACACAATCAATCTCAACTACTGTCATTTTCAAATGTGATTTTTTTTGTAATTCAGCTGCTGTGAAGGATAACTGGACAAGAAGTGATGTTACATGATAGAAAACAAGAGCGTACAGTCAGTAACAGAGGCTTACTGATTACTAATAATCAGTATCTGTGTCGACCCTAGCAGGGCTGCAGACCCTCTCTGTGTGACTCATGACGGATAGGAGTGATGCTTCTTTGTTTGCTCAAAACAACCCACAAAAGGTCAAAGGTCACAGCGAATCCCCTTCCCTGCTCACCAGTTGGGGATTTCCGTCTTCACCAGCAGATAGAGGATGACAGACAGCAGGTCGTCCGCACTCACAGCCTCTATGCTGACTGCAGGGGAAGACACACACTCAGTGAACACAGCAAAACCCACAAAAAAATAACACTTTCAGTCCTGACACTCTGCCTCTGTCCGGACCAAATGACTAAATTGGAAGCTGGACAAACATTAATTAGGAGCCGATCGTACCACTCTGCTGACTGACAGCGGGGTTGTTGTTGGCCAATAAGCTCGGATTTCCAAAGCAAACTGGACAAACACATTAGAGGCCGACAGAGCAGGTATTGTCCTTTGAGCTGATCTGATTACAGACAGTGAGAGCGCGCTCGGAGATCATGTGGAGTTCACTCCGCCTGTCCAGAGAGGCGAACGGCTGACTTACACACTGACCAGACAAAATGTGAGTCACACTTCCTCCCCGATGAGGTCAATCCAAAATAAATGTGCAATATGACCGACTACAGCATAGAGATAAAGAGACTCAGAGTCTCACAGTCAGTGGACAAAAAGAGTTAAAGGTTCCAAAAGATTCTGAATCATTTCACATATTTTATGTTTGTTTGTTTCATTTATTGTCCACAATGTGGAAATTTGTCTTTGGTCTCATAAAAACAACAAGCAGGACGGCAACAACAACAACAACAACAACACTTACTCTCAAACAACTTCAGGGCAAAAAGCAGGACAGCAATGGCAGTTACATTAAGAACGCATTTGCCCTTGGTACTTTGTATCGTCTACCAGAGGGAAGAAGTTCAAACTCCCTATTAAGTGGATGAGATTGATCGTTAGCTATTTTGACAGCTTTTTTCCTAAGCACATCCTTATACACACAACTTAATTGTTTCTGTCTTATACCTATGATTTTTGAGGCTATGTTTACTATTCTCTGCAGCTTGCTTCTTCCTTTTATGTTTAGATTATCATACCACATTGCCATGTTAAAAGTTAAGATACCCTCTATCAGGTTCTTATAAACTGTTTCCATAATATGCTTGCTCACTCTAAAGGAGTTGAGCTTGCGTAGTAAGTGGAGACGCTGATTACAGGTTTTAAAAATATAATCAGTGTTTTCACTGAAATTTAGGTTGCAATCAATATATGTACCTAAATATTTGAACTTGTTTACTACCTCTACAATTTGTCCCTTAATTATAAGGGGCTGCACAGGGTCCTTTTCATGAAAGACAAGTTTCATCACACCACTTCAGGAGAGATGACACATATGCTCGGTATACTTCCTCTCCCACAGTGTCCCCCTGCTTCAATAAGGCAACCAGGGCCATATCATCCGCATACTTAAACAAACAAAACTTTTCCAGATCTAATTGGAATTCGTTTGCGTATATCGAGAAAAGTAATGGGGATAAAATAGTCCCCTGCGGGGCACCAGTATTAAGCAAAATGATGTCGGACCGAGTATTATTGACCAGAACCTGTTGAGGGCGGTCAGAGAGGAAGTCCCTAACAAGGTGGATAATACCACCGTTTACTCCTATATCAATAAGTCTCTGCAGCAGGATGTGAATCTGCATGCTGTTAAAAGCAGAAGTAAAAGCTAGCTAACAGTAGCTAAACTAACTGGTGTTGTCCGACTGGCAGTGTCTTGGATGCGCGGTGTGGGTCTGGTGTTGGTTGCTTCGTGGTGTTGGCTGATGGGGTGATTTGCGAGCTAGTTAGTAGCATGGAGCTAACGGTCCACTGACTGCAGTTCACTTAACGGCCACTGGTGTCACTATTAACAGTTTAATGAAAGTTATATATAGTACCTTTAAACTGTGTCAGAATGAAGCTCGAGTGTTCAGATTCATTCAGTTCAACAAACTAAATTCAACTTTGTCTTAAAGCACATTTATCAGAACAACACCAAGAGGGTTATTATTCTGATCCTGAGATGAAGACTAGAAAACTGATGGACATTGAAGAGACAGAGATGTTCACAGTCAGTGCATACCGGTGCGTCTGGGGGTCTGCGTGGCAGTCAGGGCGACTCTGCGGAGGCAGAGCAGTTTGAGGAGGGGGGAGGTCTGCTGGTTGAGCTGACTCAGCTCTCTCTTTGCCCGAGACAAGTTTATACTGCAGAGACACAACAACAGCAGCAGTTTATAAGTGACAAATATAAAACAGTAGGTCATATAGAGGCATCAGTCCAACGTGAAGGCAACTACGTATTATATATTCATAACTTTGGCCTGTTGATCTTTGTAGTAGCCAACATCAGTCCAGTAAGAGGAAGAGGAACAGAGAATGAAGAAATAGCTGCAACATGCTGCACAGACCTGAACTCAGGTTTGACTCCCAGGTCTTTCTGCTGCAGCTCCTGCAGACTCCTGCTGGTTTTGTTGAAGGCAGCATCCTGTTGACGAGCAGCACGACAGACACAAGATCAGTTCTGTGACACCCCCGTCGCATGAAGTCTGACATTACATCAACATGAAAACACTCCACGTACATCGACCTCCACTTCCACCACGGCGAAGGAGGAATGTTGCTTTACTATCATTTCTATCAGCATTTAACTGTAAGCTACAGTCCCAGCAGCCGTCCCCCTTTAAACCCGACCTGTCTTGTAGTTGCTTTGCATTCTGGTCTACAGTAGTGTTTGTCAAACTGTGGCCGGGGACCAACAGGGGCCCTTGAGTGGGTCGAATGCGGTTTCCAAATAGGGTCTGCTGTTTTTATTCATTGTAATTTATTTTGATCATTGATTGACTAAGACTTTATTACTTAATTTTTCTTTTTTTACTTTACTTAACCAAAACCTGATGATTACTATGGATCTCTGATGTTGCTAAATATGTTAAAACCACTGGAGGTGCTGAAATACTGAACTTTATCCAGAGTAACCATATCACTGTTTGCGTAAATTAATGTTTATAACATTTTCAAAGCTTTCAGCAACATGAATAAAACTCAATTCACTTCCATTGTATTAGAATGGAGACAAGAAACAGATATCACAAAATCTGCATAGCAAGAGAGATATATATATATAGATATATAATTAGTTTGTTCTAGTTCTACTCAGGTGGTAAAAGTGGAAGAGCAGTGATATTCACACCTACCTGGCTGGCTTCAAGAGTTCCCACAAAGTTAAAAATTAAATCATGGATACCATGATGAACATACATCTGGGATAAAGAGGAAAAAACACACAGAACATTTTAGGTTACACAAGAGCTGCATCAGTTTTATCAGCAAAGTAATCTGGAAGAGAATTTCATTTGGTGACTTCACAAGTGAATTATTCTTTTGATTATTTTAAGTCCTGCCCCTTTTTCCCCCCCGCCTCAAGTTTTGGTCAGCTTCTCCTTTCCTGTACTTAGATATGCTACGTGCTAGGCTAATCTATGTTGAAAAGTCAGCCACATTCTGAAGATGGTTAAAAGATAAAAACAACACGATGTTGGTTATTTGCAGCCCGCAGTGGTTGAGCTCATTGGCTGCTCAGTTTCGACTCGTCCGTATCAGGAAACAATGGCGGCTCGCCTGCTCACACAAGATCTGGTATTAAACAGTAAAATGTGTTTGTGAACAGATTTGAGGAGAGAAATAGTCAACAACAGAATCTGGATCCATATCTGATCAGCACTGTTTGACAGTTTGATCTGAGTTTGGTGCGTTGAGCTGGACGGACTCACTGAGAATGAGCTGTCAATCACAAGGTAGCCCCGCCCTAAAGCATACCCTGCTTTATGGTCTGTTTTACTCTAAATGGGACCATCAGTTACTAAATGAACATCATGCTGTATGGAAGAAGACTGAAACTAGAGACTGAGACCAGAAACTCATCAGGAAACTGTTTACTGAGGGAATAAATCAACTGAAAAGTTTAGTGTTAATATTTATGTATTATTATATATTTATATATTATCTGTCTGTTACTGAGTTCTAAGATCTGTTTATGATGAGGCACAAACACATCCTTCTTTACTGAAACCATAGAGTGAAGCTGATATGTGATGGTTGAGAGTGAGGTTACCTCTACTGCCTGTTTGAGAAGAGTCATCTGAAGCTCCTGCTTCGCCAGAAGTTTCTGTAGAAACAAACATTGATCCCATCAGTAAATGCAGAGAAATGCATTATCACTGCACAGGATGTGATGCAACTGCTCTTGTTTCTGTGATCAGGCAGAAAGTAGAGACAATGGTGGTGCAGCTATGACACAGATTATCTTATTAGACTCCAGAGGGCCTAACAAGACGTTCTTGTGTCCTGTGGTGTCCTCACTGATCTACGTACTCTCTGTGTTTCAGTTCAGGGTCAGATCAATCAATGGACACAGATCATGATGAGTATGTTAGGCCTGGACTGGGGTTGCACCAGCAAGTGTAAGTTCTCTCCTAAGTAAGGGTGTAAAGTCAAAACTGGAGGCTCAGTAACGGCTAGTTAGTTTGTAACCAGTTTGATTAATTAGGGTATAACCGAACTAGTTTGGACGTAGAAGTATAAGTCATAACTGAGGCAAGTAGTCGAAATAATACCAATAAATCAAGTCTCTATCGGATTACAGTGTCTCAAGTGAGGCATAAAACAACTTATTCCGGGACATCATAAATTATTTCCATACACCTTCAGTTATCTCCATCAGCTGATCCTGCAGGTCAGCTTCTACTTACCAGGCGAGAGTCTCTCAGCAGACACTGAAGACATTTAGTGTAAAGACCGTTCACCGAGTCCTGAGTGGAGAGAGAAACAGGAGGGCTCAGTACAGCAGGAGGCTCTCTGCTGACTCACTACAACCTTTCAGATTCTAAAGGTCTACTTGAATTATTTATCAAGGAAAAGTACACCCTGAACCCTGAACTATTTTTACACAATGTATGTAAGAGGAACAGATTTTTTTCCTGGGTATTAAAATATAGAAAATGTCTGTCAATCAATCAACACAAAATAAAATTTGCTTGTTGCTGCTTTAAGTCGGACTTGAATTACAATGTTTAACTCTTATCCACAAGCTTCTAATTTCTTTAATTCATTTTATTTATGCTTTTCAAGCACTTCAGCCAATTAAATCCCGCGTTGATAAAGTTTATTGTCAGAATCAGAATAAAATTAAAAAAACAAAACACACAGAAAAGTATGCTGCAGGAATGAAAGAACTTAAAAAGGAAGAGAATAAAAAGAATTAAAGGAGTGAAGCAGAAGGGACAAACGAGGAGGAAGATGATGGAAGAGGCAACAGGAAAAGACAGTTTAGAATAATTGGTCGTACTATGTGGTGTCGGAGTCCCTTCCTCTCCTGCTCTTTGAAGGCCTGACAGAAGCCCTGGATGAACTTGTCCAGTTTCTGGGCGTGGCGGCCCAGGAACTCCCTGACGTCCTCCAGGCTCTTCAGGCAGTAGGGGGGCGGCGGGCTGAGCTCGGCCGGGCTCGGGTCCACCTCGACGGGCCTGGAGATGCACAGGATGCTGTAGCTCTGCTCCTGGTCGTTGTAGAAGGTTTCCTCAAACAGGATGGGGACCGATGCCAGAGCCGGGAAGCCGGATCCCAGCAGGACCTGCCTGTCCTGGATCCTGACCTCCTGCAAGGAACCAATAAAACCAACAGCTCTATTAAACAGAAACACAGTGTTTGTCTTGTCTTGTCAGCATAGATTAGCCTAGCATATAGCATATCTAAGTGCAGGAAAGAGAACCGGGGTCCTGACTGAGGCTTGCTCAACTGTTATTGGAGAACAGAGCAAAAAGGGGCGGAGCTTGTGAAGGGTCAACTGATACACAGTGAGGCTTTTTGGGGCCCAACGAGGCTGGAAGCGGTTGGTAATCCAGACTTAGTTTCTATCTTATTGACAGTCAGTTCACTACTTAATCAGGATGGTTTGGTTGATAAAAGGTCTGAAGCTGCACACCATCAGAGGGGGAAGAAGTATTTAGATCATTTAATTATGTAAAAGTAACAAATCATGTAAAAATCCTGTTAGGGGACGATCACACAGATCACTAATACACTAGATACACAGATACACTCTTTTGTTTTCAGTTTTTGAAACCATGGAGAAAGTTTTTTGGAACAGCCACTTGGAGCGTCTTGTTTCAGTTTCAGTTTTAGGAAAGTCACTTCATTTTGGAGAAGCCAACAAGAGGAACATACGTTTAATTCAGGCGTTGAAACTTTGAAACTAGCTATTGGATCATCTTATTTTTAAGCTACAACAATCTGGACTTTAGAGCACATGATACGAGCCTCTTATTTTGAATCTAGACTTGGGGGCAGCTTATAGCTGCAGCGACAACATCTTGACATTGAAAGAAGGTTTTATATTTTATTGAGTTTTGTTGTCCTGTGTCAGAAGGCTAACTCAGAGATTGTAGTGCTGATGGAGCTGATGTTTGTGAGGTGAATCAGTGTGTCGGACCAAACAAACCTTTCCATCCGCAGTCTGGTATCCGTCCTCCGCAGGCTGCAGAACATAGCTGTCGAACTGAGAGTCTGAGTAGCTGCTGACGGTCAAACTTCCACAACAGGGCACCAGAACCTGCAGGTGGTCACCAACACGGGACAGAAAAATACACAAAGATTCAAACTGACCTAATCCAATCTTCCTAATTTCATTAAAACTTATGACTTTGTGTTCGCTCTGAGCTGCTGACGAGCAGAAAATTCTTCCTGTGGTTGGAAGTCTGATCACAGATTACAGTAAATTTACTATTGCAATGTGACAGCTCAGAAAAATAGAAAATAGAAAAATAGTGAAAAAATGAGCTGCTAATTAAGCCCCAAGTAGAGGATAAAACAGAACTACAAATTCTGAACTACAAAGCTAACCCTAACCCTACGAACCCCTGCTTTATTGCTGAGAACATCATTGAATGATGTCTGATTGGGTTTGATATTTAAGGGCTAAGCCAAAATTGTACAAGGAGATTCTGACTATGCTGCTGCAGACTTCAAACTTTGTTTTAATCTCTTTACGGCTTTATTGCTGAAACATGTATTACCTAGTACAGAAACTGTCTACAGTCATTGGAAAGGAAGAGTGGGGTTTGGATTAAAGTGCAGCAGTGTATACAGATAACTGTATATATTGCTTATTTTATTTATTTTATATGATATTCTACTATAAGAATCTTTTTCTATATGTATAGCGTGAAGGAACTGCAAACTTTCATTCCGTTGTACAACCTCGTGTTGTATAATAATGAATAACCTTGGTGCATGTCTGACTTTTCATCTATCGCTATCATCAGGTCAACATCTTAATGTGTCCAATACTTATGTTCAAATACCTGGATGACATTCCCATCAGCCACAGCTGCACTTTGTGTGTAGTGCTAATTAACAAACTACAATTGTAAACATGGCTGCAGACTCTTGTTGAGACTGAAAACTATTTAAACATATTTGTTTTAAATCCAAACTTCCCTCCATACTCTTGACTAGAACAAGTAGTGAACCATTCATGACAAATTAATACATTTCATTTGGAGGAGTCATGGAGGATTTAAAACTTGGACACTAGCCAGGGAAAGTTGTGAAACCAGGAAGTATTGTACAATGTGTAGTGCACATATACAGTCTGGTGTTGTATAACAGATTTTTCCAGGTCAGCAGCCCGCTGTGAAATGCGCATTAGAGGCTGTAATCCAGTTAGATGCATTTTCCTGTGCTCTGCTGATGTTTTGATAGCGTTCAGATCATCTGAGTTTCCAGAGAAGTCCTGATGAGTCAGACATTCAAACATCTGATCCCCGTCTGCTGAGGTTTCAGGCGTCTTGACAAGCTAAAACATGGTTTTTGAGAGCAATTATGCAGCCGTTTAGGTCATTTGATATTTGTCGGTTTTCACAGTGGTTGCATTTTCTCGCTGGCTGGACTTTCAAAGCTTCGTCTGACTGAGTAAACCAATCAATCACGTTATCAACCCTAACTTAATTTAAAAGGCTCTAAAACCACTGTTTTATTGTTTGGTTTTTAAGATTATGTTGGGCATAGGACAGTAGCGGCTGAAGATAGACAGGAGAGTGCAGCACGGGGCTCTTTGTACATGGGACGCACTCGTTCACTCACTAGCAATAACAAGTGATTGAAAATGCTTCAGAGTCTTATATGAAACCTTTAAAGAAGTGTCCACCTAATCCTGTCACCTGCCCCGATCAAACACAAGCAGAAACCTGAGCACTGAGAGCAAAGTGTGGGCTGACAGAGGAGGAAGCAGCTGAGAGGGTGCTAAAACCACAACAAGAAAACCTTGTGAACTGATGGCTCCAACTGCTCTCAAGACAAGAATCGATCTGACAGCAGAAAATGTAGCTTTACTTTGAAAATGAGGCCGAGCTAGTCGCCTGTGTCTCCTGATCTGACACACTTTAACACTGCTAATGAGTCTGATCCAAGCACACTGTGGGAACTGTCTGCAGTACTCATGTACAGAATCAACCCAGGACCGTACAGTGTTTCATCTCTGCGCAGTTATACAGCAGGTTCAGTGATCAAGAGGAGGAAGTGATGAGTGAAAGGAGCTGGAAGGGAAACTGGCAGATATCTGTGGTCTGTTCTCCCCTGCAATGTTCCCGGTTCTATTATACTGTTGTTTTTTCTCTCTGTTTCCTCCTTCAGTATATTTCTTTGGATGCACTCAACCTCTAAAATGTACTTTTTGGATCATCATCTCTTGCAAAAACGCAGACCTCCGTCTTTTCTCTTTGTCTTTCTCTTCATCTTTATGGTTTGTTTTAGTATCTTAACACTTGGAATGTGCAAATTTTTAACAATGTGTAAGTGTAGATATTGTGTAGAGAGAGCCATAGGCATTTGTCTTATTGGACAATTGACATTTTAATTAGCTAATCTGTCTCTAAAGTAAAGAGTATTTTCACATCTAACTGGAGTAAATTAAGGGCTTATTTCGACTACTTTGACATCAGTGAATGCAGTAACAAGGGGATTTACAGAGGCTCCAGCCATGACTCTGATTCCAGGGAAGATGAGGACAGGGACAGTGACAGGGACAGGAGAGAGAGGTTGAGCATCAGAGCGGCTGCAAGCCAGAATATTTCACACCTAACTCGGTTAGACACCAGAGTTGGTGATTGTTGGAACAGTGTAAAGATTAATAAAGATGTTTTTTATGCAAGAAATGTCTCTAAACCTGAATCAGGTTTTGTCATCCATGTTCTTTTGCTGTCTGACAAACACACGTTTAACAAGTTTTAAATACTACCTGGAAAGTGAAAACAAAGGAGCGAACGGACGGGACTCACAATGCCGTGGAGCTCTGCCACTCGGCTGCAGAGGTCCGGTCTCTGCTTCTCCAATGCCAAGTAGAAAGGATTCTTCAGGATGTTCTCATCATATACAGCCATAAGGAGCTGGAAGTCTGGATCCTGGAGAGGATAATGGAAGCAAGGGATTAACGTGATTAAACAAAGCTTCAGAAGGCTCTGTTAATTAATGTGGTACAGTAATTGTGGTACATTCAAGCCACAATCAATTTTTAAATACACTTTAAAAGTTTTGAAATCTAGATGGTTTCTACAGACTCAGTACTGAGAGAGTTGTCCCCAAATCTGAGTAGATGCCATCTGGGACGGAAACTAAAGAATAATTCAGACACAAAATGTAATATTTACATTTCAAGAAGAATAATTAACTGATGGAGTGTTTAGGACAGGATATATCAGTCCAGTTTGTTTGAGACTGAAACAGGAACCTGTTTCTGTTTCTATCTGCACAGATTTTGATGCTAAGCTTCCAGTTTCTTTTCACAATGAGTTCTTATATTCTCTTTTAACGTTTTCTTCTCCAGGTACAAAACAAACCCGTCACACAAAATAACATCTCTTTGTAAAGAGAAAACCCAAAAGAGTGAAAGCATTCACAAATATAGAGTAGTGCTCTCAGCCATCTGATTGTACCAAATCAAGCTTTTGTGGCAGGTGACCCCGAAACCCCGAAAGTAATATTGTGGTAAACTCTTATATAAGATAATAAAAACCCATAATTTTTCTGAGACATACTGCCAAACTCTTCAACGTTCATGTAGTCTCTGAAGTTCATTCAGTCCTCTCTAATTGATCTCCAGACTCAAGAAAGCATGAATGAAATTTCTCTTCAAAAGACGTAACTTCTGACGTCTTTGAAGAACTTTGTGAACCCGTATCCTCATATATTTCTTTTTGTCTCATGAATACACATTTTGCTGTAAGCTGCAGACACTCATGAAGCGCGTGGGTTGGGGTCACTGTTTACAGAAAGGTATCATAAAAGGTCATCAATGTGGATTGTTCTCGTTGTACAGCCAGACTGGCGGCTCTGTGAGGGCTGTAATTGTGACCTGATGATGGCAACAGATGATGCCCAGAGTTATTAAAATTCATCCTGAACGTCTGGCCCAAATGTCATGACAACCCGAACAACAGTTGGCGAGACATCAACGTCAAAGGTGGTGCAGTAGAAGAAAGTCAAGAGGGATTCATCCACCCAATAGTTGTTGAGAGCATCACTGCTGCGCCCAGAGCAACCACCAACATCAACTCTTCCAACTATAAATAGACAGTAATTGATAAAATATGACGGGGACAGACAAAAGCATGTGGAAGTACTGGACAAGAATTGAGTTACGGCCGATTATTGATGTTTAAGAGATGAAGAGAACAGATCTTATGATTCCTTCATGTCTCCAAATTGATCCCTTACAACGAATACATGTTGAACAATATTCTTTATAATAACATTAACCACTTTGTTCAAATCAGTTGCTAAGATTGAGAATACCAGACAAAAAGTCCCTTTCAAATTGTTTTCCAGATTTGTTATGAGGGGGGGATTTATGTTTCTACCAGAGTTGAAGTATTTGTTCCAGAGTTATTAGTTATGTTGCCGCCGCCATCAATCTGAGTCTGTCGGTGGCAAAAACAACCTTTAGAGGACAGACTTTGACGGGCACATTTATCCTCAAGGATTAACGTTAGCTGACGTTGCTACGGCCATTGTGGCCCCTTTTTTGCGAATATTTTGACATCTAATTTGTTAAATAAAAGATTTATTTCCACCAAACCAGCGTTGGTGGTTGTTGTAACAGTGGAACAAGTAACAAAGGCGATTTCAATGAGATTTATTTGTTTCTGTCCACTCCGAATGAAGTTACGATGTTACGTCTATGTTTGTCTATGGAGTTTGTGGTTAAACTAAAGGTCTATCTCTGTAGGGATCCTTTCTATAATGGAGTCAGACACTGACAATAACAACCTGAGTCTGTCAGTGGCAGAAACTAGTTAGTTGACGGGAAAATTTGCTTACGTTGCTGCAAATTTTTTCATATCTTACTTGCTGAATTGAGGATTTATTTCCACCAAACCAGAGTTGGTGAGTGTTGGAAACATTAACAGAGACCGTTTTAATGAGTTTTACTCTAATTTTAACCTTCAGATCATCGTAACTTCATTCAAAGTGGACAGAAACAGTGTTTTTTTCTGCTGGAGAGTGATAGTGATATTATGGCTGTTTGTGGTTAAACTAAAGGTCTATCTCTGTAGGGATCCTTTCCATAATGCTGTCAGACACTGACAATAACAACCTGAGTCTGTCAGCGGCAGAAACGACTTTTAGTGGAGGGAAAATGTGCTTTTAATTCCCCTTTTGTGAATATTTACTCGCTGAATTTAGAATGCATTTCCACCCAACCAGTGCAAAGACTAACTCAGATGGTTTTGGTGAGTTTTGCTTCTGTTCTGCTGGGTAAAATTTAATAAAAGTTTTATTCAATGGAGTCTGGTTGGCCGTAGCATCCACTGTTTAGTGCAAAATCTATATATATAACCTTTAATGTTGTTTTGTTTTAGTATTTGTATTTAGTATAAATTTTTACTGACCTGAAGACTATGTAGACAAAACAAAGTTGTATCTTTTTCTAATCTAAAGTGGCACCAGAGGCGAGGTCATGTTGTTAGCTAAATCAATAAAGAGCTTATCTGTGTGATCTGGATTTAAAATGTCACCGAAGTCAACCAGTCATTAATGTTGACAGGAGACATGTTAACCATGAAATCTTGTTGTGAGACGATTCTCTTGCACAGACAGTTGATAACATCCCGCCTGATCCCGCTGCCACACTACATTCCCAATTCACGACGCACCATTCATCATCATTTAACCCTTCATTTAGAAATAAAGAACCAGTTAAAGAAAATAACAGAGTTAGATCTGACAGGAGGGGAAGGCTGGAGGTGTTTTTAAAACCTTTGTGATGAGTTTATTGTTTGGAGTTTTTACGTACGGCTGCGTGTGCGACACAGGTTCACTGTTACAAGACGTGATTGTTTCCCAGCAAGTGGAAGTCTGAATGTTACGCAGTCTTAAGACATATGACCAGAGTCACAAGAGAAAATGCTTTTATATTGGTGTCTTACTGCAGGGAAGTCACAGTGGGGGGGGGGGGTGTAACTGATAACTCTGTGTGTGTGTGTGTGTGTGTGTGGGGAGTGTGTGTGTGTGTGGTACTACCATAAGTAATAAAGGTCAAGCTGAAAATGAGCGGAATGTTCCAATAATCAATCTGTCTGACAGACGTCAATCAGGAACAGTTTTATGCTTTTTGAGTATCATTTTAATTGATGTCACAATCAAACTGTAAAGATCTGATTATTGAACACAAACTTTTAACATGATATTGTTTCATGTTTTTAGGTAAATGGATCAAAAATGATTATTTTTCGAGGGTGAAATTCAACAGGTTTCTTAGGAAGGTTTTTAAAAAGAGCATGAAGTGAAAAGTGAAGAAAATAATGTAATTACAAGCACAAACAATACGTCAAATATTGACATATTTCACTGTCAACTTCATTTAGTCAAATTAAATGTCACAAATCAAAGATACTCAGTCATAGAGGACTAAAGAAACCAGAAAATATTCATATTTGAGGGGCTGAAATCAGAGAATTTAGACATTTTGTTCTCAAGAAAATGACTGAAAATGATCATTATTGATTAATTCTTACAGCTCTACTGCCAGCAAGGCTCAAATACACACATCACCTGTCCTAACCATTGAACTTATCATAAGCACCAACATCTACATTTGCATAGTTTTGAATATGGCTGCTACAGACACACCTGCTGAGAGAGTTTTCCTAAAAATACACTTAAATTAAAAACTAAATCACAATATATCGCCTTGCTTAAAGTCTCAGTGCGCCGAATCGTAACCTCTGTACTGGGATACGAAGCGTGTTGCCAGATTCTTGCCAGTACACTTCTCTTCATGCAAAACATCAAACTCATGCATCTGCTCTGCTGGAAGGAGAGAAAGAAACAATCACCATGTCCTCGAGCACCGAACCCGATTATATGCACCAAATTCTATTAAAGCAACATTCATCCACTCAGGAGCAACAAACATTTTCCTGTTTAAAAGTCCTCTGAATAAACCACATTTCTTCCATGTGGAGCAAAAACACTCTGATCTCTGATCAGTCATTACGTCCCTTAAGCAGAAAGTTAAATCTCACCTCTCTCTCCCAGAGCAGCTTCATCCTCACTCAGCTCCAGTACAGAACAACTGGGAACCAGTTCAGCACAGACAGACAGACTCCTCGTGTCAGGCTGCTCAGCTGGGATGAAACTGAGGAATGAGTCACGTGACCCTTGTGGTCCTCGTGACCTTACAGGGGTTGAAGCTAGCGGCGTGCTCAGTGGCTCAGAGGAATGTCGGCGCCCTCGGGCCCGACACACCGTTACATTACACACTGCGGTGACTCAGCTGACATCTCAGCCCCCGAGGCTTACAGAGAGAGGTTAAAGGTCACAAACAGGGCTGACACAGTCGTAGTAGTTTCTAAACCTACAAATCAATACTTCACTTCCAGGTGACAAAAGATACTGAGCACGTAATCTCAGTGTCCTGGTTCCTTATACAACATACTCCCTCACATCCAGACAATAACAAAACCTGATGAGGTGGTGAAGCAGCGTGGGATCATGGGAGTTGTTGTCTTCACCACCATTGGCGTCATTGCAGTCAGCTTCTCCCGGTTAGGATTCCTTCAGTGTTCATGGTTCAGGAGGTTTCTACCGGGAGCCCAATGATCCACAGAGGTCTCCTCCTCTCCAACACAAACAGACCCGCTGATTAAAACCACTAAACACACTGAATAAAGCAGTTCCACCTTAAACACACTGAATAAAGCAGTTCCACCTTAAACACACTGAATAACTGAAGAATAACTTAACTTAAGATCCAGACGTCCGATGACTAAAATCCTTCATCCGGTTCAAATCTAGAGTTAAAAAGCACCAAGATCTAAACAGTGGATGGTAACAATGTGGCTTCAGACTGGATCAACAGTCAATGTATGACAGCTTCTGGCAGACAACCACAACGCTGACGCAGGCACAAAGGGGATATGACGCCATCGACAGGCATTCAATTCAATGGAAACATTTGGGATAATGGAAGAACTCTAATAGAACAAAGAGTTTATACGCGGTTTAATGAGGGGATGTTAAGTTGTGTTGGATTTTAAAATGTGTCTAACCGCAGAGCAACCGGCTGACAGATGAACATGAGGGAGGTGAAGAAAGACAGCAGGGAGGAGTAACACAGCGAGCAGATGGCAGCGAAGGTCAGAGGAAAGAAGACACCATTCCTGCCTCCTCTGGATCAATACAAATCTTTTAAGAGGTCAGAGCGTGGAACCACAATCAGATCCTTCTCCTGAGCTCCACCCGGGAACCAGAACCCTCCACACTCCCGTCTGAGCCGGACCAACAGAAACCCTTTCAATAAGTTCACCTTATCACACAGGCAGGTGTGTTAAACAAGCACAGTGCAGGACTTTAATATCACAGAACCAGGATCTGTCAAGCTGCCCAGAGATAATGATGGCATTTCCGTGCATTTTCAAAATAAAATCAATATCGCCAAACAACCTATAACCAGCTATAACCGGCCACTAGATACTCTTATATCGTATGACTTTAACACAGACCATCCAGAGTGCTAAATATAAACACCATTAAGCTTCCAGGTTGAAGTTTAGTAGCATACAGTTCCAGGACAGCTAGTTTCCTTTGTGCGCAGAAAATTCAACCCAAACTCTGTTTACAAATCTATCATTTTAACGTTTCTTTGCGTTTTGAAGGTAGAATAACGCACAAAGAACATAAATCCGATATGTTTAAATAATCTTTGGAGTCTTTTGACATATTCGGCACATTAATTAACCTTCTACCTCATCTGTGATTTAATAAAATCTCAAGTATTTTTGCTTTTGTATACAGTTCGACCCCTCCATCCAGTATGTAATAACATGTTAAGTGTTGGAGACCCGTTAAATTAGTATTCAGATATTTGAAAGGATGTAAAATCAAGTATTTAATCGTGTCTTTAAAGTACGAAACATTGCGCAGGAGCGTTAACTTCGCACATTTCTGATCGTTAAAATCCACCGTTTTTTGAATGGAGATTGGTTTGATGGCAACTCCAATTGTAGGATAAGTTAGCAGTTAGCTTTCAAACAGCGGTGTCCAGGTCGCACTTCACAGCTGGCAGGAAACATATTCTGGGTCTTATTTACCAAATTAAACTGTTCACAAACATTATATATATATAACGTTAACATTATATTCCCGTTTTTAACGATGACCGGAAGTTTTACAATTAGCCGGCTAGCTAAAAACAAGCCTACAACAGCAGCGCCGAGAGCGAGCTAGCATTAGCTCCTGTAGGTCGGCTTTAGGTTTATTAAGCTGTTAGCATTAGCTCACCATTACCCCAGCTATCAGAAGCGATGATCGATCAATAAGATTACCTGTTATCGATGAGTGCCTCGGGTCATCCGGGCTCGAGCGCGCAGCCTGTCAGAGGCCATCAGCTGGTTAGCCACATTAGCCGCATTAGCCGCATTAGCATTGGGTCCGGGTGCCCTGCGGAGAGGAAACAGGTGAGAGGAGCTGCTGGAAGAGAGAGTGGGTTTGTTTCCAGGTGTTACTGGTCCGCAGCGGGCTGCACCTGTTGGAGAACTCAATGTGTTTCATTGTTCAAACTCCAGGTAGTGCAAGTGACTCAGTCTGACAGCGCCCCCTACCGCCCAGCGGCGGGTACTGCAGCTCATTATATATTATATTATATATTATATATTTTATTTTATTTATACACTCCTTATATTTATATTTGATAGCTTTAAGAGGCTAAAAACTCACCTGTTCTGTAAAGCTCTTTATCCTCTGTGTAGTTTTGTTTTGTTTTAAACTTTGAATATTTACCTTTTAACTCTGGTTTTGAAAGCAACTTTATAAATAAATTGTATTATTATTATACAAGCCCTTTATACACTACATAAATATATATGTTTACTATACACACAGCTTATTTTATCATGTATTGTGTAATGTGCAATTATACATATATATATACATTGTTTATATTCTACCTGTACTGTATCTATAGACTGTATTTCCTTTTTCTGTCCTGTGCAATAATAAAATATTTACAGTGTGTACTTCTTTCAAATTTCAGGCGATAAACTATATATATATATATATATATAGTTTATATTATTATACACCGTGTGTGTATTCAATAATCTTTGCAATTACCGCAATGTTCCTTCAATCACGTCTGTACATAAAAACACTTTGTTTTATCTTCCATACAGGATCCCGTTGCTGAACCCTGAAGATGTTGGTTTCAGTTGATTTACTTCATATTATTAAATATTACAATAAACACTGACATTGTGCTTTTTATTTTATTTTAATGCAGAAATGTTTCATATTAAATCTTTAACACAAACAGTCTTTGGATTTATTCTGAACAGAAACAACATCAGCAAACAAAAGTGTACAACTGGATGTGAATCAACACGTCAGCAAACAAACATTAAATAATCCACCAACTGTCTCTCAGCCCGCTCACAAACATAAATCAACAATAATTCAAACTAAATAAAAGTGTTCAGCTGCATCTTAAAACAAGTGACTTCTTTTAAATCTTTCTTTTGTGTATTAATGCATTATTATTTTTTATAACTTTTCAACAGGGCGACCCAATCCTGGCTTTCTGTACTGCAAACGCCACCTTCTGTCTTCTTCTTCTTCTTCTTCTTCAGACACCCTCCATTCCAGCAGATGGACTTGTTATGGGATTGTAAATGTTTACATTTCTATTTGTCGGGGCGTATGGTAGCTCAGTTGGGAGAGCGAGTCCTTACCGCAGCGGCCCGGGTTCGATTCCAACCTGCAGCCCTTTGCTGCATGCCCCCCCGCAGTTTGTCCATTATTAACGTAGGACCATAGATATAGAAACAGATACAGCATTCTCCGCCATATTGTGAAGTGAACAATACTGAGATAATAACAATAACTATACTAAATCTACTGTAACTCGTTTAATACTGAAACCATTTTGATGAAATTTGGTTTGTTATAAACATGAGAAACTGAACCTGATATTGATTACTTGTTGGAAATCATTCACTTACAGGTGAAGTGAATAACACTGATTATCTGGTTATCAGGGCTCCTGTCAGTTGATGCTGGTTCTGATAGAAAGGGGTCAGAACACACAGTGCAGAGCAGGCTGTTGGTCTGAGACCAGTCAGGGAGTCCAGGGCTCATAATGTTATGGCTGATCGGTGTATACCACAGTGTCCAGGTACATTAAGGCGCGGTGGAGATTGTACGAGCCGGGTCGGTCTGTTTGTATCGGGATACTGAAGGTGAGCAGATTCTGACTAAAGTTTTTGGCTGAACTTTTAAGTGACGTGAAACTGAAGTCGTCATATTGAAAATAAAGTGTGAATCAAACTGGTTGGGGTTAAACTCTTTCAACCTAAAAGATTAATAGTTCATTAAATCGACTGCAGAGGTTTCTATTCCCGGATCCATAATTGCACCAGCCTGAATATTAAGGAGGTCAAAGGTCACCGCAGCAATACAACTGATGATAGTATGTGTGTGATGATAACAGACGTTGGGAGCGTCGGGGGGAAAAACATAGAAAATAAGTTTTTTTGTCTCTTAGCGTTTGTCTTTCATCTTCAGTCGCTGTCGCTGCCGCTCTCTGAGTTCACGTACCAGTTATCCTCTCCTGTGTTCCCCTCAAACCACAGACCTACAGACCAAACTTCACGTCACTTCACAGGATCACAAAATACAGTCAAATGTTTTCAGTGAGCGGGGTTCTTACCATTTGGGGTTTTATCTTCATCGTCTTCAATGTGATCCATGTCGTAACTCACAAAAATATTCTGTGTGAAGGAAAAACCTTGTTACGTTTTATTAATTCTTTAATCAGAAAAGCATCAAATGTTCAGCAAACAGAGACAAACACTGAACGCTGTAAAATAACTGAGCATCATATTCAGAATAACGTTACTATCTGTAATGTTCCTATATTATAGTTGGACCGTTAGCTCCATGCAGACCCACAGTTTACAGACCCACACCGCGCAGCCAAGACACAGCCAGCTGTGTCGCTTTGTACCGTTACATCATTTATTGTTGTTAGTCAGAATATATAAGTTAGTATCAAGGATAGATTATCCACACAGATTGTATTTTGCTAGCGGTAACGTTATGTTGGAGAAGGCACTCGGGAGCATAAAGGTCACAACCTTTGACCCTCATCCTACATAGAGACACATAGAGATCAGTCCACAGACAGCAGAGGAACAAAGCTACAACCTGTTCACTCTCTGCTGATAAACAGTGATTAAAACATTATAATATGTAAATACATTATCTTCATTATTGACCTGTTGATTATCATTAATTCCTGCTGTGGACTGAATAAAACAAACTCCAGCACCTTGTTCCTGAGGAGTCTCTCCCAGTATCCCTGCCGTTGTTTGACCAGTTTGAGGACCGGCTCGTTGGACTTCATGTCCCAGCGGCAGCGGTCCACAACGACGTTAGCTCGAAGATCCAGGTTGGCTCTGTAGATCCGACCGTTCACTCTGCCACTGAACACAATCAACAGAGAGAGCGTCAATCTGACCACACTGAGGAAACGTCTGTTTGTTTACTACGCTGCGTAGAGTAAGTTAGTTTCCCTCCATGTGAACACTATAAAGGTTATAAAGTACCACACTGCACTCAGTCTGTCCTCACCTCTCCTCAGGACGACCTCCCTCAAGTCCTCAGTCAGACAGGAAGCAATCGGAGAGTGGCAGGTCTGAGACCACCACCAGAGTGCCATTACATTTTTCATTTGGGTTTTGTTTCTCCAAAAGCAAAAGCACCACCTCAGTGTAGTTTAATTAAGTTCCAATAAAGTACGGCTGCAACTAACAATGATCGTGAGATCAGTGATTCTTCAAATGTCGTTTTTATCCGACAAACAGTCCGAAATCCAAAGAGTCGGTTTAGTCTCACATTTGTGAAGCTGGAACAAATTAACGTTGCTTGAACTGTTAATGATCAAATAGTTGGCAGTTAATTGTATTAGCAGTTATGTAGTAGTACCTTCAATACTGGATTATAAAATCAAACATAAATCAAACTGACATTAACATTACGTGGTACCATTATTCAGCTGTTCGGAGACCTGGGAGACGAAGAAGCTGATACAATATCTGTACTGTAGTGGACGATGAAGAAGAGGACGACTGTGTGGTACTGGGAAATACGAGCAGCTCTCCCGTATCTGACAACCTGTTGTATTTCTCTCCGTTTACAGTGAGCAGATACAGATACAGGTTAGCTACGACGTGTAACAGTAGACAGTTTATCGCCGCACTGATTTACTCTGCTAGATATTGAGACTGTGAACCAAACGACGAGGCATCTTTGGAAGCAATCATCAACCAACTGCAATAATCATGTGACACTAAATATTGATTTGAAAACATTTTATTACAGACTAAAGTAATCGAGAAGCTTAACGCCAAAAACAGTTCAGAACTGAAACGTCTGTAGAAAGTGTTAGAATCTGTCACTGCAGCACAAAGAGGTTTTCTGAATGAACTCAAAGTGTCCGAGCTAACATTTGGTGCCACATGACGTCACAGATTCACTTCATTGAATCTTTAACGGCTCTATTATTCAGAAACAAGAATAACTCTAGTGGCCAATGTCCCAACAAAGGAAAGTAATGGACTAATGATCAAACTGTAAACCTGAACTATGCCTGATGTGTTAGCATGTTAGCAGCTGTGCTAAACATGTACCCGCTCCCGCCGGTGTAAAATGCTCGGGATAAAAAGCTCCACTGAATGTTGGATGAGATGTGCAGTAAGTGAGCGATCAGTGGTGGTCTGCTCCCGACAGACCTGTAAACGACTCTGTCGGGGTAGAAATCACAGTGCTGACTCTCCGGGTTCGTCAGCTTCACCGATACGATCACAGAGTCGGACGTCTCGTACCAGCGGACCTGAGGGTGCAAACTGAGACACAACCGGAGGAGAAACAAATATGGTTTAGTTTAAAAACCACTCTGGATGATCTGCTGTATGTTAATAAAGTAAAATGTACTTCCTTCCATCAAATATAAACACTATACTATTTGTTTGCGGTCATTCTGATGACGGAGGACAGGAAGTGAAAAGCAGAATGGATGAGATGGAGCTGTGCTAGTTTAAATGATATTGTGATTCTTATGTTATGAAGAGGAGCAATCCAATGTAGACCATCACTCCCTGCCCTCCGTCTGCAGGAGTGGCTGGTCTACCGCGGCGTCCATCAGTTGGTGTTACTGTGTGACTTTGGTGATCCAAACTAAGTCAGTCTGTTGGCTTTGAAGAAAGCACAGATGGATAAAACAGCTTCAGTTCCCCGTTAGTAAGGACTGTCTGACAGTGGTGAGAATATCTTGAATATAGCGTACACTTCAACTGACAGACATGGTTTTAAAATAGGCTGTGTTTTGCTTTTGTTGTACTCCTGGTTTCTTGTTTTTTTCTTGATGGTGCTTCCAATGTAGAACATCACTTCCTGCCCTCCGTCTCCGTCAATCAAACTACATCCAGATAAACCTTCTTGTACCTTTTTACAGAGTAACTGCAGTCTGTCTCGTTAGTGCTGATGAGCTGTGGGCTGTTGCTCTGATCGTCACCTGCAGGCACGCCTGAAAACACACACACACACACACACACACACACACACACACGCAATTACTGTGTGTTAGCAGTGGAGACAGATCATGATTATTGATCACAGTATTTTTGTTTCAGTTTTCAGTAATGTGATCTTGTGTTATGCTGAGGTAGATAAAAACTTCTATATACACATTTGGAACATCTTAAAGTCCCCTGAGTGTCACAGTAACGTACGAAGTGTAATGTGTAATGACTGACTATGCGGCTCTGTAATTATTTAAAGGTCCAGTGTTTAACATTGAGGATTATCTATTGTTAGAGATAAAATATAATATCTATAGGTATGTTTTTATTGGTGTATCATCACCTGAAAATAAGAACTACACACTGGACCTGGATCTTTGGCCACTGTGAGAAAATAACTTTTATTTGACTTTTACCATCACAGGGGTTGAGAGCAGCAGCCTCGCTGGTCGTCGGGCAAACTTCTCCTTCATCTCCGTTCCTGTGGATCAAAACCATAAAGCTTCTGTTCATTAAATCCTCTGAGGGACTTTCTGTTCTACCTCCTGATATTGTAACATCTGTGATTGTGTGTGCTGACTGTGTCTGATTAAAGAACAATATATTTACTGACTTATGAGTTCCTCAGTAAAGACACCAACCTCATCATCTGCTCGGCTGACGTCAGATCAGCCGTGTGGGTGTTTCTCTGACTATCTGAGAGGGATTTCTGATCACACACTGGGTCCGGGTGGGGTTCAGCTGCAGGTGGTGCTGGTGCTGGTGCCGGGGACAGGGACTTGATCACTGAAGATACTGGAATAAGAGTCTCACGTGGCTCGAGGTGAGGGGGGTCAGCGAGCCGACTGACCTTGGCCGCTCTGCAGGCTTCAGCCAGAACTTCCTCCTCAGCTCTGATCCTGACCTCCTGAGACACCGGACTGTCCACCGACCTACAAACAACACAATGCTGTCTCAAGCACCACGGTGGAGGTGGCTCATATATTCTGAGTCCATTACCAGGACACCTGATCGTTCCTTACCCAGAAAGAAGACCCGCCTCCTTGTCGCTGCCCATGTTGCACTCCTGGTAGAGCGTCCTCAGCCGGTCCAGATGCTCCGGGTTGCTGACTCCCATCCCCGTGTTCAGGATCTCTGACTGCACGATGTATTCATTGATCACAGTTTTCATACCTGGCACCTGGGTCACACGGACCTCGGAGCAACAACAACGGGAAACAAAGTTTACTGGTGCCAACCCGACAGTTTACAGTCTGGAATTAACAGACAAAATAATTCTGATCTACTTTGGAACCATTGAACTGTCACAAATCTTAAGATCTGTTATTAATTCAGATATTTGTCCATCAGTCACCCACCGACAGAACCAGGACATGATAAGAACCTACCATTGGATCAACAAAAACGGTGTTTCCCAGACTGAAAACCGCTCTGGCTCGGTGCTGCAGACCTCGGATCTTCTGGCTCATCGCTCTGGTGACCTGAAAAAATGTCCAATCACACGAGTGCTTCCTTTACACGGGAGTTCACTTTTCACAATCAACCCTTCCTAAGTCCCGTCCCTTTTACTCTGTGCTCCAATTACAGTTCCTCCTTTCCTGTACTTAGATATGCTATATGCTAAGCTAATCTATGCTGAAAAGACAACCACATGTTGAAGATGCTCAGAAGGTAAAAGCGACACATATAAAGTCACATTATATGTGTTCTTATGATGTCTTATTTATTCTTCTGTACAGAAGTACTTAACAAATAAACTTGGAAACCTTGGGGTGCCAGTCGGTCTCAGAGTCGGCCGGTTTGACCCGGCAGACGATGATCTCCACGGCCTGCCCGGGCAGAGCGTGGAACTTCTCCGGGAGCTGGAGGATCTGATGGGATTTGACCTCCTCCTCCTTTCCCACGTCAATAAACCGAACCAGGACGCTGAAAAACAGGCGATCACCTCGGTCTGGGACAGACAGGATCTTCACCCTGTCGCAGGGAGCACAGTTACATTACATACATTTAACTGTGGGGCGGGACTTAAGAGGGATCAATTGAGCTTCAAGTGTCAAAGTGTGTTTCAATCTCCTAATGTGTGTTTTAAGCCCTAAAATTGGTCCTTGTTTACCTGTGGAAGACCTCATCCTCCTGTACAGCGTATAAGCCTCCCTCCAGCACCTCGGTGGCTCCGGGTTTCTTGTCGGCATAGAAAGAATTCATCTCAGACGCCATACTCTGGAAACCTTCGTCCTCCTTCCTGACAATACGACCGTAGAACACTGACGCTGTCTTAATGTAGAGAGGCACAACCTGGGAGCAAAAAGGGTAATGTAGCCTGTTCTTTCAAATATCTTTTCCCCTAAATTTCCCCTCCTGCAGGCTATAATAATTAGTTATAGTCATTAACAAGATGCTTACAAGACTGAGATTTAAACTTCAGAAAATAAGCTGAACATATTTTTGTATATGCAGAACCACTAATGAATTCTTGTTTCCTTGATGATGTCCGTTAACCAGCAGAAGAGTCATTTAGTAGGGATGCACGATACTGATAGTTTATGCACTCTTAAAAGGTAAGAAAGGCCGAGATATAGTGAGTGAAGATGGATGATTTAATATTCCATAGCTCTGCTCTAACCAAATCTAACTGATATCACTATTGTTCACAACAACAACAGTTCTGACTCTTCAGAGCAGGAGCTAAAGAAGAGAGAAAAATATCAACGTCCTCACTTCTATGACTCCCGTGGCCGGAAGCAGAGACTGATCCAGGTGGGAAATGAATCTGTGACGGTCGGGACACACACTGCTGTCTCTGCAAAAAGAAACACATAGAATCACATAATAGGCCTCATATTCTAAGAATTAAATCTCTATTTTGCAAGAGAAAACTGTGAAAACCTGAACGCTGTGTAGCATTCAAGGTAGGGCTGCTAATATATACACATTTTATTTTTCAGTTAATAAATTGTTTAAGCAAAAATGAAACCCAAATTTCTATTGGCTAATAGAAAGCAACTTTTAGCTTTGTACCACTACATCATTTATTGCTGACCTACAGACTCCAAAGCTCTTCAGGTAGCTGCAGAGAGGCCGGTGGGTCTTCTGGTCCTCCCGGGCCACATGGATGCCCTGGGCGAAGGACAGCAGCTCGGGGGGCAGCAGGGTGTTGGCTCGCACCAGATACCGCAGAACCCCGACTATATGACGGGCGTTCCTGTCGGAGATGAGCAGCACCGACCTGGTGGGATGAGGACAGCTCTCTGCTTGATCCTGGGAGGGAACCTTGGAACAGAAATCAGAGACATTTAAACAAACATTTTCTTTGTGGATTCTGATACTGCATTGATCATTTATACAGATTTTTTCCACCAAATTCCTCCCGTCCGTTTGTTCTTACTCGTTCAGAAAGGTTTCTGAAGTTCTCAGCCATGCAGAAGAGTCGGCCGCCGAATACTTTGGGAGAGGTGGGGAAGCCGTAGTGAACGACACAAGTCGCATCTCTGATTCCCAGACACTTCAGACACTCGTTGGTGATCACTAGAGATCAAAGGAGAAAGATAGCAGCACTGTGAAGGTGGGATAATGGTGGTATGGTAAGGTGTTATGGGGTATTACCACCATATTGGTTAACTTTCAACTAAATAAAGTCACCAGTTAGTTCGCACATTCATCTGAAAGTTGACCGTTAACAGGGTCACTGTTAAAACCCCTCACATGTGGCAAATGGGGATAATTCCGGTCGGGCTTTTCTAATAAAAGACAGCCGGTGTTTCCAGTCGGGGGTTTTTCCAGAGCGAGTGAGGTGGAAGTTACATGACTTTTTATTGTGTGGTAAAGACCTTTTGACAAAAAACAAGTCCTGGTTGGAATAACGAGTCAGTACTCTACTGCTCGGTCCGGTGCTGTGTAACACTACCAGATTTTTTTTCTCTGCATGCACACAGATTGAAAAGCTAGCGGACTGTCACATTATCTAGAATCTCTTCCCAAACATTGAATGTTTAGGAAGAGATTTCAGTGAATGTCTAACTGTCTTTATTGATGATGTTCTCTATGTTTACCCAGAATAACATGAGTGCCGGGGCCGATGTCCTTCCTCCACTGCTGGATGACAAAGTCAAACTTGTGAGTTAACCCCTCGTGGGTCTTCAGGCAGAATGCTGATTTGTTGCTCACAGCCTGAATATGAGAAAAGAACAGTGGTAAACTTCACTGACTGTTGGGCTGACATTGTCCTACATTAAAGATTTAAAGCATACATTATATAATATATATACAATACTTAATATATTGTACAGCATAACTGAAGCTGTGGTTTCACCTGGTACACGTCTTCCACCTCCTGAGAAGAGTCGGTTACGATCAGAGTCTTCTGGCCGACGTTGGGGTTGAAATCTAACACACCCAGCAGTACTGAGGTCTTACTGCTCTCCAGGGTCATTAGGATGATCTGTGGCATTAAGGCGTGGTCACATAGAAAGCAAAGTGAAGCCGAGGCTTCTAGAGGAATAAACACTATCTTGAGACGGTTACCGGCAAGAGGAGAGTTTATTTTGGTAGTTGGACTACTGGCAAACCGTGTCTGTTACTTGATTCCAGATGTAGGTTTTACATTATTATGAACTCACTAACTTAAATTCTGATGAGTGAAACTGATATTTTATGGACAGTGTACGATGATTCATTGAGACTGACCTGCTGAACGTTCCCATAGAGAGCAGCTTCCTCCGGGACACTGATGACAATGGACGGGTACGGCATGTAGTTGGCTAACAAACCATCCATGTTACTGGTCCATCTTTTTGCCACAGCGATGAGCTGCTGAGGACAGGAAGCCATCTCCTCGCTGGAGGTCACCTTCTGGAAATGCTGCAAGATGGTCAGCATCTAACAGGAGAACATTTATGTTTAAGGAAATCTGTAGAAAGGTTTTAAAGAATAACATGTTCATGAAACAATTAATACATGTAACAGCTGCTCCTGTTTGGAGGGAAAACATTTATGTGAACGACAACTGGGACCTGTGGATATCGTCAGCTGTAGCCAGTTAATGTCGAATCAGAGAGCATAGAGTATTTCAGAGTTTATCATTTCGGTCCCGGGTCCAGCTACGTCCAATGGAAGGTAGCTGGAAGGTCAGCTAGCTGCTACTCTAAACACCAATCAACACAAAGTGTTTCTGTCACCTGGTCCGGAGCGTGAGTGAAGAGCTGGTCGGCCTCGTCCAGCACCAGGTGGCACAGACGCAGGAACAGGAAGCAGTGGCAGGACAGCAGACGGACCAAACTGAAGGGAGTGGTCACCACTAGCAGGCCTGGAAATAATATAGAAATAGAACATTTAGGAAGTGATATGACTGCTTTAGTTTGGGATAATCCATCTTAATACAGATTTACAATAGCCACAAATACGGAGTCATTAGGTCTTCGCTCACAGTTTTTGGGGATCCTGACAGCCTTGGCCTCATCTTTGTGGATGCCCAGCAGCACGACGGCCGGGTGAAGGGCCGGGACGACCTTCAGCTCCTCCAGCAGGTCGTACACCGCCTGGACCTTCTCCCAGCCCGGACACAGCAGCACCGCTAAGGGCTGGACACAAACACATCAACACAGAAAGTTCACATCCAAAAACTACAACTCCATTCTCTCAAAACAACAACTAGAATATAATAGCATCATAGGTCGACTTTAAAGTAGTAATGTTTTGGATGAGGAAGGCTTTTCATACACTATAACAAACGGCCTCCTGCCTGCTGCTGATGAACTCACCCCTGCACTGGAGGTGAGGGGGGTGAAGATGGAGTTGAGCAGGATGTGGGTGAGGAGCGGGGCGAGGTAGCTGAGTGGTTGGTCGGCGTTGGGGGAGACGACGACGGTGTTGCATCCTAGAGCCACAGCTGGCCAGCTGTAGCGGTCGGCTGGAGACGGAGCGTTGTTCCTCTTCCTCCGCAACACCTGGAGACAGAGCGGGGAGGAGCTTAAACATTCAGCTTGGGTTCAGTGTGAATAAATATCCTCCCTGATACAAACTATAACATCCCCGGTCTGTTTCACCTTCCTTGAACAAGAACCTCGGTCAACTTCCTCCTTTAATGTACTTAGATATGCTATATGCTAGGCTATCTATATTAAAAAGACAAACACATTCTGAAGATGGATCAAAGATAAAACAGACACATCTAGCTTCAAACTAAACTCTTGTTTACCCAGCGGAGAGCATCTGTGATGGGGGCGTCATCCAGGTTGGTGTAGGGCTCCACAGGGAGGGCAGAGTGCACCAGAATCCCACTCCCTCTGGGATCACTGGGAAGAACCTGAGGGCAATAAAGAACACGGACCTTCATGGAAAAGAATTAGCTAATACCATTTACTTAATGAATGTTTTTTAGGTCATCATCTACTAACATTTATGTTTATTTACAACATGACAGATAAACAACAGTCTCCTTCAGCTTCATGGATTCAGTCCAGCTGGGTTCCTTCAGACCACAACATTAAAAAATTACTGTTTGTAAAGTTGAGAATGAACTGAGAGAAATTACCACGTTGTCTGCAGCGCCTGCGTCTGGATCCAGGTTCTGGGGCTCCGGGTTCAACCACTCCAAGAGGCTGCAACAGACAGAACACCTTGGATATTACTATTGGAAAAAAGGCATTTTGTGAGTTTTTACAACGTTTTTTTTACTTCATAATGCAATCATACTACTTTTTAATCAGGATTTTTTTTTTGGAATTACTGCAGCATTAATGTGTATGTTGCATTTTATTGCTTTACATGTTTAACTTTGTGCAGATACTGTTGGGTAGTTTTGGTGAGTTGCAGCTCACCGTGCACAGGCCCAGTCCTCTTCACTCCTGCACGTCCTCTCTGCCTCTGCCGGTCCAGACTCTGATGTACTCGAACTGCTGTGAAATAAAGAGTGGAGACGATGAGAGTGATCCACTGTTCACATTGTAATGTACCATACTGTAACAGAGAAAGGTTTAAGAGTGCAGAACTATTTGCTGCACCTTGTGTTTTCATCTGCCGGACATTCAACCTGACTGCTCTCACCGAGACCCTCAGCTCCACTTTGTCCACTAATAAAACACAAATTACACCAAAGAGTGAAGTTAATAAGTTAATATTAACTAAATCAATCAATTAATTAATGTTGACATTAAGGTGAGAGCATCCATCAGTCAGCTGCCAGCTTCCTCACCTCATACTGAGCAATGCTTGATTGTGCTGCGTTCCAGGTTCACTGTTGTATGAAGGGATTAATCTGTGTGACAAAACATGGATGGGAAATATTTATTATTACACAAAGTGACAAAGTGACCATGAATTAAATACCTAAAGCTCCATTTGGACTGGATTTATGTCTGTAGGTCTTCTTGGAATTTAAATCAGTCAGAGCAATGTTTAATTGATTTAATTTAATTTTAAAGTGGATCTTAAAGAGCTGCTTGTTGTTCTATTTTCTTTTCAGAAGCTCAGTGTGGAAATTTCTGGATGGATACCGATCACATTTTAATGGTACTACTATACTAACTGGTTCGGTACTTTAACGGTTCTCTTATCAGTTCTTTTTGGTATTTTTTTTACAGAAAGAAAAACAACATTATCGTTGCTTTATTTTCTCGTACTGTATTTAAATCAACATTCTTCACTACTGCACTATACTGCAGGTGAGCCCTGATTGTTTACTTCATTCGCTCATTGGAGGCTAATTTAGCAACGACACTGCCTAAATGTTATTGATAACCTTTAATGTTAGCAAACAATCTGATGTGACCTCTCCGTCAGGCCGGACTGAGCGTAATCTTAACCCTGTCAGAACGGAGCTTCAGTTAACTAGATTGTGGAAGGCGACGTACACTTCCTGTCCTGTGCTGGAGGCTGCAGTCGTCTCTTCAGCTCCACAGTCTTTTAGCTCTTCCTGTTGACTGAGCTGGAAGAAAAACAAACCAAACAAACTTTTGGTTTCAATCACCGACCCTTCCTCTCTCCGACTCACAGAACGCTGCTCTCATCTTCTCCACACTAATCGCCAAAGTCTATATATGTTTGTTTTTATTCTGTAAACTGAATTTACGTGTATGTTTATTCACTTTTGTTGTTTTATTTCTGTATCTTTAATTCAGCTGTTACTGAATGTAATATGTCACATTGTCGTCTTTTGTCTTCTCATTTTCATGAAAACAATAAAGACAAAGTTTAAATAATAATACTGTACAGGTGAGAGACCATGAAACCATATTACCACATTTGTATGAACTCCATTACAGTGAGGAGAAACTACCATCAGTTTGTGTTTTATCCAAAATATTCCCTAAACTCAGGGAATCATTTAGGAGCGCTGCAGTAAGCCTCTTAGGTTGTCTCCTTGCTGTCCTCCTGTGTTTACACTGAGGCTTTCAGGTTAGTTAGACCCCTGTGGATCTGATCTAAAATAATCTAGAGGTTCAAATGTTAAAAACTGTACCAGGTAATGTTCATTACTCGCACCGGGAGCCGCCGGCTGGCAGCTGCTACCAGGATTCAGAAACTTCAGGAACCTTTTGGGGCACAGGAAGTACTCTGTCAGTTTCAACCAATCACATGCTGTTGGTTTCAGCCAATCACAGGACAGGTACTGTATCTCACCTGAACAGACTGAGGTTTTTGGTCAGAGCTGCAGCGAGAGACGAGTCTGTGTCCTCTGAGGAGTCACTGAACATGAGAGCAGCTCAGTTAACAACATTTACTGTAACAGATCTCTGATACTCCCATAAACACAGAGTGCGCTCACCTCTCTGCAGTGACCGAGCCCTTCTTCGACTGGTCTTCTGCGACCTTTGACCTGCTGCCTTCCTCAGAGGTCTTCGGCTCATGTTGTCGGCTCTGAAGCAGCAGAGAGGTCAGAGGTCAGGGAGAGTGGATATTTACTGCAGTCAGTTAACACAGCGAGCAGAGCTGCTCACCTGAGGTGTCGAGGGAGCCGTCGGCCAATCGCTGGCTCCGGCTGCAGCCAGACCATGTGACATCACTGAGGGTCAAACCACATTATGAAAACCTGTATCGGGTCCACGTGTTTAAAAGAAACTTAACTTTAAATAGTAAAAACAAAAGTAACATTAACTTTACCGGGTGGTGGTTGGGTTTGTGCTGTCGGCTTGTTCGAGGTCGGGAAGACGGTCTGGGTTAAGATCCTGGAGGACAACATGACGGGCAATTTGTCCAGCTCCTCCTGACCGCCGCCGTCGGCTAAATCTCTGATGTAGAACGCCATGTTCTTGGCCACCAGGTCGTCATTCGTGCAGATCTGAAGGAAACACACAACGTCCAGCTGATTTGTTTCTCTGTGTGGAAAAGTACAAACTCTACAACTGTGATAACACAACACACAATAACTGTCAGACATTAGAAAGAAACAAGAGGCCGATCAGTCAGCAATATGAAGATAAAGTAGCAGATGTTACGTAAGATATGATCTGTCCATAAGAGCTCTGTGTTAAAACTAATAACAATGGAGCTCAGAGTTCACCTTGATGTTCCCCACAGTCACATAGAGCTCAATGGAGGTGGAGTCCGACTCGGATTCGAGCAGCACGGCTTCTGTCTGAGTCGATGCTGATGGAGGGAAGCAAATATTTTAGTTTTAGGGCACATCACATGCTGCTGCTGAGATATAAAATCTACAAAGAAAACAGCACAGTTGTTGTTCATCTCTCTCATGTTGGTCACCTTGCAGCAGGTTGTGCAGGTAGAGCGTAGCGGAGCTGTCCCAGTGAGTGGACGGACTGCGGAGGAAAAGAATGAGACACAGAGATAAAACAGGCTGCGTGTGCTTCAGAGGGACTTCAGATTCAGTTCAGGGGGACGCAGTGAGTTTGTCTTACATGAGCTCTGCCTTCTCCTCATAGATGGACACTCGCAAGGTTGTGGGTTTGATTCCCGCCAGGTGGAACCTCCTCACCCAGAAAGGCAGCCGGAGGAAGTTCTGCACAGCGACTCGGATCCTTGACAGACCGAGCCGAGAACACAAAGATTAGAAACCCAACAGCACAGGTACGGGATCACCCTAAAACAAAGTACCGCTGGAGCCCAGTACGCTGCTCAAATATCGTCCAATCATTTTGCATTTGGACTAATTCAGTAAAACGGTCTTACTGGTCCGAGGGGACGACGAGTCGCTCTCCATAGTCGACCAGGAAGCAGCGAGCCTTACGGGACACCGAGTCCACGATGACCGACTCCACCACAGCCCGACACCACGACTTCATCACTGACCAGTACACCACACACACCTGAGAGCAGAAACACACTCATCCATCCCCCTACCTGGACCAGGTGTGTAAAAAGGTGAAGATAGACTTCGGGTACTGCATTACCTGTCCCTCTTCCAGTGACTCGGGCTTCAGCTTGCGTAGGTCCTGAGTGACGTCGTGGTAGAAGAGGTTCATCTGAGCCAGCAGACTGTCGTACTGTTCTGCCGTCACCGCGTCGCCACCGAGACCCCGGACGACCCGACCCCAGAGGCAGGACGGGTTCTCAATCTGCAGAGAGAGAGCAGCGGGTCACAACCTTTCTCTACCAGTGAACTGACGACCCGACCAAGTGACATATTTTATGGCTCGTTCATATTTATTATCATATTATATATTTCACATTATTATATTATTCAATGAATAAACTGCACAGTGAACACAATAACAGCAGAAAGTTTGGGTAAAAGCAGAGATTTGGATGAACTTGGAGCAGATTATTTCCTGTGACATTTCATTGATATTGTTGGTAACCTTTTATACAATTCTCTGTCTGTATTATGTATTTTTTATCAATCATACTCTCTAAACCATCTAACCTTAAAGAAACAAACTATTTAATTTAGTTTTCTTCATAGAAATGAGATATAGGCCTACTGTGTATAGTTTATGGTTTTCTTACACCCTCCCCCCTCTTTTGATTGTTGTAATGAGATTCTGCTCATGTGTTTTAGGGCTGCACGATATAGTAAAAACTTTGTATTGTGATTATTTTGACAGATACATCGTGTCTTATTTAAAACCAGTGTTATTACATCCTAATCTAGACAGAACAACCTCCTCTCTTTAACACCTTTAACACTGTGCTTTAACTGCAGATTTTCTTCCTTATTAGTGTTTTAACTAATTATAAAGCTGTTGTGTCAAACATTATACTCTGACTCTTAAACCCACCCTGAATATATGCTACCATTAATGGCTTATATCTTCTTTAATATTATAACACAGTATGTCACACTGCTAAATTGCACATTATATTGTAAATACTGTCTCTCTTTTTATCTTTTTCTAGTTTTATCTTCACTTATATTCATTATGTTTACTGCAATGCACCAATTTGCCATAAAATCACACTTTAAACTGCTTTTAATGTAAATTCACAAGCTAAACGTTCAGGTTAGTTAATATAAGTATAATTATTAAACACCAAAAACACAAACAACCTCCCAGAACAGCATCATGCATCGATCTTTATCCACAAACAGCTCCTAAAGTCTTTCTGAGTGCAGACTGTCAGCTTTAGGTATCAACCGTTAACTGACAGTAATTAATTAATTAATGAAGAAAACCTCACTTACCTTCAAAATGGACATTTTCATCATTGTGCACGGGTCTGTAATCCTCACTGGAGCCTTAAACACTGCAGGGGAATATAACAATATAACTCATTATGCTGTGACTCCAAGCAATCGCTGGAATAAATGAATTAAATATCGATTTAAAGTCGATATTTTTGATTAGCGCCTGTCAGCTAGGTAGCTACCGTTAGCTCACCGGGCGGTACAAGTTCCCGGGATTTAAAAACTACAAATTTACCCAAAACGGAGCGGAATTTCACAGGTTTGTATCCGTACAATGTTTTTAATGTTATTCCGTTTGGTTTCCGTCTAATTTAATATGAAAACCGTCACGTTTGTTACCTGTTTGAGCTTCTGGACGGAACAACGCGGTGAAACGACGTCAGACAAAATGGAGGCGTCCTTCTGGTTGTGACCGTTAGGGGTTGCTATGGAGACAGCGGTAGGTGAGAGGGCGGTTCCTCCTTCTTCTGCCTTGTAATTGTTATATAACTGACTCAGTATGTATGGATGTATTATTTTTAATTATTTAAGATTTAATTAAATGTTTTTTTTTTAATGTTTACAGCTGGTTGTGGATTTCAGTCAATGTAAAAACATTATAATGTTTAAGAGGATCTGAACGAGGGCGGCGGGCGATACCAAGTGTGCAGTCGGGAGGGGGGAGTCACATTTATGTTTTCTTTAACAAACGGAAATAAATTGAAAATAAATCGTAAATAATAAGATGTAAATCAATTGACAGCACTCACTAAAGGAGGATATATCTAAGATAGTTCAGCTGTATATTGGGGGGGCCCTAGTGTTTACTAGTATTTGCAAATGTGACTGAAACTTGTCAATAAATGAGTTGAACTCCAGCAGATAAACTTTATTGATCACACATTGGGGAAATTCACTTGTTACAGCAGCTCCAGATAAGAAATAAAGAAATACACATTAAATAATAAAATAAAATATAAAAAATATAAGATTCTAGAAAAATAAATAGAAATGGGATTGTATGTACGAACTATATACAGTATGTTTATATTGATGTGATTTAAAGTTACAATATAATATTGCACAGGAAAAACTGCACACATATATATTATACAGTAATGATTTAACAGGGCTATGAACAGGTCTAAAGACTAAAGTGCATGTAAGAAATTATATATATGTGTTTTTTTAAAGTGACTATGGTATTGTTGCTGAGTTCAATCAAATCAACAACATATAATCATATCACTCTTGTTTAAATAAGGTCTTCCTATTAACTGTAATGGCTCTATTAGGTTAATATGCGCTGTGAAATGATGTGTAAATGTTAAAGTTTCCAATTATACAAGATCTGTTTGGGCAGTTTGTAAATCTCCAAATGACATTTGAGTAAAACTTCCAAGCAGCAGTAAATAGAAGTATTATGAGACAATGTGTTAATGTGAGTGTGTGATTTATGTGTATTCCCTCTCATTTTACCTAGCGTTTGTGTCATTTTGTTTCCATGGAGACAACTCATTTGTGCCAGAGCCCATTCAAAAAATAGTGATTTCTAAGTTTGTTTCTCTACAGAGCGAATAAATAAATCTGGTAGGAATATAAATGTAAACCTTTTGTGTTCGACAAGTTCCAGTCTGTAATTCGGCATAGTTGTCATTGTGAAATTCTTCTTATTAATTTGAATATAAAGACAAGTTATGAAATGAGTCCACGCTGCTCACCGGGGCTGTCCACAGGGCGTACTCTTTAATAACTGTGGGACATTAGAGATTTTACAGCAGGAAGCGCTGCTCAGTGGATATTATTGGAGCCGATATGAAGGGTGAACACTAAAGAGCCACAATAGTCTTCTGAGTTACAAGTTAACATTTAATATTATTGTCTTATGACCATTGGATTAGTATTTAACAAGATTTCTGAATGGAGTTCTGCGTGATAGACAGCCACCCACCAAAAATGTTTCAATATTTTCTGCTTTTCTTATTCTTCACTGATATCATAGTAAATATGTTTTGTGTTTTGGACTGTGATTTTTAATATGTCAGCATTTGTGACATTTTATGGATAAAATGATTAATGGATAAAGTAATTAGAGAATGAAAATAATAGTTCCACAGCTTTTGTTCCAGGCTTGTTGTTGGTACTGTACTGTACTACTTTATGTGGCCTCCGCTGTGTGATCAGGACTTTTTAAGTCTCCATGTAAAGAAAACGTTGTCACTAACAAGCCCTACTGCTGCCGCAGGTGGAGGCGTGAAGATCCTGTTTGAGAAGGAGCTCGGTGTGGCAGATTTCCACCTGCCCAACAAAAGCTGCATCCTCTACGTGTCTGAGTGCGACATCATTGCAGGGAACAGCTACAAGAGGAAACTGGTTCGCTACAGAAACGTGAGTTTAATGAGACCGCTGACGAAGCAGTTTGGCTGAACGCCTCTGACGTGATCTGTGTCCGTCCTGTTGTACAGAGCAGCAGTAGTTTCCAGGAGCTGGTGCTGGTGGAGAACACCAGACTCAGTGAGCAGTACTTCTCCGCTGTGCAGAGGTTTGTGGTGTTTGACCTCGGCCTGACTCTGCTGCCGGTCAGCGGACAGACTGAAGCCTCACAGCTCATCACTCAGATTGTAAGTAGTGAAAAACAATAAAGCTGCACTTCTCTTTTTGTCTTAATATCCTTACTCCACATCACAGAAATGTCCAGTATGTTCTTTTAAATCTATGAGTTGATTAAAGCGTGAGTGGATGGGAAGATCAGTGTTAGATCTTAGTATCAGGGGATTGTTGCAGCACAGACCTTTTCTCTTGTATCACAGGAAGTCACTTACCAGCGCACAAGAGTCAAACACAGACCTTTGGGGTAAACCTGAGCTGTCTTACTGAAACCTCTTGTAGCAGGACACTTTGTTGTCTGGTGCTAGTTCTCCAACCTGCTCTAATTGTCTCCAGGTTCACGGTGGGGGGGGCAGGGAGAACCCCTTCAGGAGGAGGACTTCGTCTCAGCTGTTGGACCCGCTGATCCTGGCTCTGGTCCAGCAGGTCCCCGGGGTCGGCAGGGTCAAAGCTCTGGCCCTGCTGCAGCACTTCTCCAGCATCCAGAAGCTCTGCAACGCCGCCCCCGCCCAGCTGGAGCCCATCGTGGGTCACGCTGCAGCTCAACAAATCCACAACTTCTTCCACAAAGCCACTGCTGCTGGAACCTGAAGGTCCGACTCTGGGTCTGCACTCAACCAGGAAAGTTTGGATTGAATCATAATGCAGAAACGCTTCAGCTCACATGGACACTAACTCTTTATTTGAAAGACTGCAATGGCAGAAAATCCAACATTGCTGTGTTTAAACTGTAACAAACAATATTTGTTTACTTGTTTGTTTGACTGTTGAGGACCAACAGTGCCGTCCACAGAGCCCCGCTGGTAACAGGGCTGAAAATACTTGGAAACTGATTTAGGTTTGGTGATTGGGCCGCTGAGTTCTCTGCCCTGTGTGGTTTTCTGTTTGTATTTTAGTTTGCACTTTTGCTTCCACAATAAATAAATATTTGTAGCATCAGTTGTCTCTTTTTAATCACTGTTGATGTTCTTGTTGTTGTTTATGAGTTTGAATCCAAAAGATAAACCTCTCACTGCATTTGAGTTATTTTCCCTCTTGTTTTCTTCTTAGTTTGGCTTCAAATTATTTAAACTTAGATATACATAGAGTTTGTGAATAAAAATGTTGTAAAATTAAACCTTAAAACATTTGTCACCACAATGTTGAAGTACAATACTTTTGACTTTGTAGATCTCATTATTCTGCATTGATGTAATGTGCTTCAGCATCAGACTGTAGTTATTTATTAAGAGCATGTCCTCATGAGGCCACAGGCTGCAGTTTGTTATGAACTCCACTAGAGGGCGTCCTCAGATGTCACTTATTCTCTACAAACTAGTAGCACTGGTTTAGTGTTCATATCAGCTGCTCCAACACAAACCTTCAATAACACTACATTATCTTACACTACCAACTATCTCAGAGGTGATGGGCTAATGGAGCTCATCAGCTGATGCTATTTTTAATCACATGATTTGGTTCTCATTAGAAACACCATCAGCTGTTTTTCAGCTTTGATATCAATCAAAAACAAAATAAATGAATCAAATACAATCAAAACTTTATTTAGCTTTTGTTCAGTAATTTGTGTCAGTATGCAACAGTTCTTATATATACAAAGATCAGACAATAAAAAGGTTTGAATTTGGCACCCAGACATTTAAAGAACATGAAAATGTTTATTTATAAGCACAATGTTTTCTAATGATTTAACAATCTTAAAGGAAGGTAATGCAGTTATTCAAATGAATTAGACTGCATTAGATAATATCAATCAGTGTGGTCAAACTGGTGTGTTGTAGTTATAAGTAGTAATGTGACACATCAAAGAAAAAAATAACCCATATTGATCAGAACTCAAAAACTCAATCTAAACATTGTACCTCACCAATAAATATACATTTATTACATTAAATAATGTGAATCTTTCTGTAGAAAATCAAATGGTTGTTCTACTCAGTGTGATTGACAGTAGAGATGATCAGAGGGGCAAAGTTTTTACCTTTATTATTAGTACAGGGACTAAAGAGCGGGTAGAGTTTCTCAGTGAAGGAGCAGCCAGTAAAGGAGTAGATAAGAGCTGCAGCATCAACGTCATAAAAGGAGACCAGACCCTCCTCATAATCCACAAACACCCCCACCTTCTCAGGCTGAGACTGCAGAGAGAGACTGACTGAAGGGTCAGCAGCAGCATAGTACGTATTTTTACTTATATTACTCAACCATATCGTCCAGTAACCATTCTTAGGGTTCGCTGTGATGTCTCCCTTCCTGTTGATCGACTCTCTGGCCACTCCTAAAACCCATTCAGTCTTCCATTTAACCTGAACCTCGTAATAAAATCTTCCTGAAGAGAAACTCTGCTTTGCTAAGACATAAACACAAGTATCAAATCTCTGTGGATTGTCTGGGAGATTCTTCTTTACATCACCATGTTTAACTTGTTTTCCATCAGCAGACAGGATGAGCTCAGGGCTGTGCTGTATCAGGATCCAGTGTCACATCCACTGCATACTGCTGGACTCTCTTCAGCTCGACCTCAGCTAGCAGCTTCTTCATCTGTTTACTGAGCGTCTCCTCCAGCTGATTCACAGCTCTCACCACAGTCCCCTCATATGAAAGTGGACGGACGCTGACTTCTGTCCAGTCCTTGGTGGGTGGAGCAGCGTTCAGGGACAGGAAGCTTTGGAGGAGGTGGAGGTGGTCTTCAGACTGTGAGCTGGTCCACCTCAGAGCTTCTCTTCTTCAGCTCAGAGATTTCCTGTTCCAGTTCTTTGATGAAGTCTTCAGCTTGTTTCTCTGTCTTTCTCTGCTTCTCTTTGATCGTGTCGATGAGCTCGGCCTGGCTTCTCTCAACAGACTGCTTCAGAGCGGTGAAGACCTGAACACCATCTGCTATCTCTCTGTCTGCACCTTCCTTACTGAGCTCCACTGAGCGTTTGATCTCCTGAATCTTCAGTCGTGTCTTCTGGATCATTTGCTGAATTTCAGCCTCTGTCTTCCCCAGCTCAGCCTTCTTTCCTTCATATTCTTCTTTCAGAGGAACAACATCATGTGTCTTGTGGCTAAAACAGTGCAGAGCATGCAGACACACATCTGGTCGGTCTTACAGAACAGCTCCAGCAGTTTATCGTGCTTCGTACACATCCTGTCTTCCAGGTTCTCCACAGGGTCGATCAGCTGATGTCTTTTCAGGCCTGACATTGTCAGATGAGGCTCCAGGTGAGTCTCACAGTAGGAGGCCAGACACACCAGGCAGGACTTCAGGGCCTTCAGTTTGGTTCCAGTGCAAACGTCACAGGGAACTTCTCCTGGTTTGGAAACTTGTTGCTCTGAGCTGCTGCTGCTGGCTTTCTGTTGAGCTGACTGTCTGAACTGAGCAGCCATCTCAGAGATGAAAGTATTGACCTTCAGCTCAGGTCTTGTGTTGAAAACCTCTTTACAGTTGGGACACTGACACTGGACATTAATATTCCAGTGTTCAGTGATGCAGGTTTTACAGAAGTTGTGTCCACATGGTGTGCTGACTGGATCAGTGAACACATCCAGACAGATGGAGCACAGAAACTGATCTTCAGTCAGCAGACAGCTGGCAGCAAACATATCTACACTGTGAGGATAAAAAGAAAAGAAAATGTAATTGCATTTCTTTTGGTTATTTGTTTAATAAATCATGATAATCTATGATCAGTGACATAAAAGGAGAGAGTCGAGGAGTATTTCTCTGTCTTTCTTTCTCTGTGGTTTTACATCATTTTTGAAGGGGACTTCTGTTTGATCCCTAACTGCTGCCAGTCACTGATATGACTGTAATATTTGGCTATTAACTGTTTGTTAGTTATTCAAACAATATTAAAAAGAATAAATCAATGATGAATTAATCTGATGTTTTACACATTGCAGTAATAACATCCCAGTCCCTCTGGTTCTTGTTAATATTATTTAAATCTGTAAAATCACAGTACAATTACATTTTAAACCCTAAAAACACAGTCTGATCCCTCCATTACACAGCACACATTAAATAATAGAATAATAGAATAATATAATACTATAGGGCCCTGAGTGGAACTTCCTGTCTGAGTAGAGCTCAGGTTTTGTGTTAATACCGGTTGTTGAAACACAGTAAATATTATCAGCTGTACTGCCTCCCAGAGACAGACAGCAGGAAGCTAGAAGCTGTAAAACGTCAGTTTTATTCCTTTATAAGCAATAACAGAGGTTGTCAGATGATCACATACTGTACTCTGTACTTTGGATCTAAAGGACAGCTAATAGGCTAGTTAGCTTTCAGCAGGACTAGTTTCTGTGGTGTGTTTTCATTGTTTGGTTGGATTTAGCTCCTTCCTTCTATCTGTATGTGCTATAACAGACTGTAACAAGCTCTGTAGGGCAGTGGACTCACCAGAGGTTGGCAGAGATTCTGCTGTTTAGTTGAGAAAAACCTGATGGATTCAGTTGAATTTGTCTTCAGAGACAAACAGAGAGACTTGTCTCCACTGCAGCTCTGCTGTCTTCAGACAAACTTTCACTTTCATTTCCAGGAAATGTGTCACTGAAGTTAACCATGCCCCTTCATTTGCATATCACATCATCATAAAAGCCCCCTGAAATGAGTAAAAGTAGTCCTTATTGTAAGTCTTTCTATAAATCAGAACCTGTTCATTTATTTATTGAACTATACTGACTTATCTATATATTTCATTTATATATTTATATGTATAAATGTGTATATAATTATTGCCATATTTATGTATTTATTTATTTAATAATGACTAAAATGGACTTTCTTTCTGGCAGTTAATTAAAAAGTCTTTAAATGTGCATATTTTGACCAGATATCTGCAAATGAACCAACAACTTCACACAACAGTCCCAGCTCTGTCCAACGTGTCATTTTCTGTCAGAAAAGAGTCTCAAAACTGCTCGTGGCCAAAGTTCAGACAGTCAGGTCTAGTCAGTTAAAGCAGACTTCAATTATTTGAACTTTATAGTTAAAGAATAATTATAGTTCATTTCAACTTGGGTTTTATTCTAAGACCACATTATTATGGTCTTTCTGAATGTGTGTGTCAGTCCGTTCAATAATAAATACAACAGTGTTATAGGTGAGGTGAGTTAAACCTCACTGAGTTCAACATTTGGTTTTTTAGCCAGTTTGTATCACTCATTAGCTTCATCACTGACAGTTTCCTGTCATTATTTAGTCCCAGTGTTGTTTAAATGGACAGATTCTGAACTCTGTGATCATTAGTCAACATTATTCTCTGTGTTTATTGCTGTGTTTAGTTGATGGTTTAATGTCGGCCCAGTTTGTGCCTCTCATGTATTACCATTACTAATGTATTACCCAGAGACGGGGACTCGAGTTTGTGACTCGGACTCGAGTCGCACTTAAGTCGCACACACAGAGACTTCAGACTCGACTCAGACTCGTGTTTTGGAGCTCGTGAACAATCATTATGTTTTCTTTTTTGGCGTATTAATATTGAGGAAACTCTGAAACGTCTGACGAGCTTAATGTGATTCCTTCCTTTTTTTTCATGGTAACCATAGTAACCATATCACGCATTGGGTGCGCGCCTCGCGGGCTCACGCACTAGTACCTCGGATGACGACTATGGCGACTGGCGGCACACCTGCAGCTGCTGCTGTACTATTTGTGATTACATTTGGTTATAAGAACTTCAAACAGGACGGCACCAACAAAAGGAGCGCTGACTGCAAAGTCTGCAGTACCCGAATCAAGGATGCTGGATCCACCACATCAAATTTTATCAGGCACCTGAAAACTCACCCGGATAGATCAGTCACATTAGTGCATATGGACGGTTAGCTCAGCATCATGTAACGTTCACTGAGCTTGCTACTGGCTTTGTAACTGAATATTTGAATAGATGAGTGAATGTTAGTTTGCTTGACGCACTTGTTTGCATTGAGGGGCATTGATATGACGTAAA